GGAAGAGGTACGGTAGAGATGAAGCAAGCCTGGGTGAGATGCTTTTTTTGGCTTAGAGACACTTGGCAGTAATCTTCAAAACAGGGTGTGATCATCTTCCTTGGCATGGCTTTTGTTTACTTGTCCTGGAGCCCCACCTTTGACTTGAGGTAGCATTTTCTTCAATATGCTAGGCAGCTGTGCTGAAACTTCCCATAGTGCCAAACTCTCTGGCAAGTTAGAAGCAAATTAAGCTTGGTTGTTTGTTCCATCAAGTAGAAAAAAAATAGCCAGATGATTGCCTTGCAATTCAGAGTTGCTTGATACAGTGAGGCAAGCATTAAGCAAGTTGGGATAGTTCATTTAATATATACTTATAAAACTACAAGCCCCAAGGCTATTGGTTGCTCTCCATAACTTAATGGTAAAGTTCTCTTGCTGATGACAACACTTACTTGTCATCAAACATGCAGAAGTCGAGCTGGAGCCCGACTGGAAGCTTCATCCCTACTAACTACCATTCACAAAACTAGAAGGTACTCTACACTACTGGAGGAGGAAGGTAACCATTAATGTTACCCATCTACAAACTTTGTGATCTACTGCAAGACACTCTGGTGCAATAGCGGCATGAGAATAGGAGTAACCAAGCACCTTTAGATTGAATTTAAGGCCTTCTTCCTGAGATGCAACTCATACCCGATACTGCTAAAGTGGCCAAGAACTCGAGACTAGGTAGGTGAGGGGCCTAGGGGAAAACTGTATTGCTATTATTCAGCTAAAGAAGCATAGCACTGTTATAAACAAAATGACTCCTAATGTCACACTGTGTACCCATACATCAATGCATCATTCAATGTGCTGCAGATAGCTTAAGTTTGGAAACTAACACAGAGATCTGGACAATGTGCAGAGAGTTATAGACTTTGAAGCACTCGGTTGTTAATGGGATGTCTTCATCAAAACCCTCCCCTTAAGGCTCAGAGATCCATGTGGGAGAAGGCAAAACAAAAGAAAGGGACAAGAACCAGAGGTGGCGATGATGAGTACAAGGTAACAGTGCCTGCAGGACACCGTGGACCGATACACGCACGAACTCGCAGGAACTGTGGTACCACACACAGGACCTTGCAGAAGCTCACATCAGATGGGGTCCCAGCCCTGAGAAGGTGAAGGAGACACAAGGCCCCACCCCAAGAAACTATTTGCAATTGACACCTGCTGGCAGAGGGAAATCAGTTTTCTCCGATGCAGTGTGATTGAATATAGCAACCATGACCCAGGGCAGGCCCCATGTCCAGGAGGAGTTAGTCAACACAGAACGAGCTCCATGGGTTTTATTCTCTGGGCTTTTAATTTCACTTTAGCATTTCTGGGTTTATTTGTTGTTTTACTTTGTTTGTTTATTTGAGAAGGAGTGAGAACATGAAATTGGGTGGGTAAGAAGGTGGGGGAAAACCTGGGAGGAGTATGGGGAGAAGAAAAACGTGATGAAAATGTATTTTATGAAAAAAGTTTTTAAATAAAAAGTTTTCTAAAATCATAAAATAAATTGTCAAGGAACATTTTATTTTACGAGAAGTGTTATTCTACTTTTATTAGTTTTTACTGGCAACTTTACTTTTTAATAAAAGTCATAACTATTAAAGGTATTGGTTCTGGGCTTTGTATTTTTAAGATTTAAAATTTAAGGTGGAAATTTTTGTGAAGGACTAATTGTTAGTGCAAAAACATAGTGACCAGATGTGTAAGTTTTAGGAGTTAATTAACATGAAAGTCTCCTCGAGCAAGAACTCTCTGGGGCTGAAGGCTTTGTGAGGCCAGGGATCTTTGATTAGCACTCTTATGCCTCTGTCTACACAGTGTCTGACATATTGTTAAAATAAAACTATAGGACTGCTTGTTCCTTCTGTTTCTTTCTGTGCATGAGCTTTCTCTTTTAGCTAATGTTCTCACACACAAAGAGAGTGACTTGCTGCTTTTTGAAGAACAGTTCAGTTCTGCAGGCTAATGCATGCCTGAAAGATGAAACACTTTTCAGAACTCTGACATGCTTGGCTGCCTGCTCCCATGATCATAAAAAAATAATCATAGTTTTTTATTGAAATTATTTATGAAGCTATTTTGTTATTTAATGATTAAATGAGATCAGAAATGTATCTAATATTAACTGTTTTAGTATCCAAATAAAGGAATTCTCAGTATTCAGAGTTGAAAAGTGGGAAAGGTTTTTTTATAGTCTATCATTATTACTGTTATTAATACTATGATAATGTGTTGGGACATGTGCATATGCTACCACACACATACAAGACCAGATGACAATCTTGTGGAGTAGGTTCTTTCTTTTCCTGGGTACCAGGGATTGAACTCAGATCATCAGGCTTGAGTGGCAGATGTCTTTGTCATCTCTCTGGCACTAGATTTTATTGTTGCTAAAAATTTCAATTAATTAATATCTTTCATATTCTATGACCTGTAACCATCAATAAATTTCAACAGCACCAAAATTAAAGCTATGTTTTATAACCAAATTAAACTTTGGAGAAATAATTTCTCAAGGGCGTTCTGTAACTGAAGGGCATCTGTGTGGAGTGCTCATGGTACTCAACCTGAATTGTGTCAGGAGGCTGCCTGTCAATGGATATGAATGACACACAATTTCATCTGCCTTCATGATTAATTATAGTGGCATTGGCTGCGAGCCAGCATTAGAGCTTCAAAACTGAGTGCTGTGGGACAATGTTCTTGTATCCTATAAAAAATTGTCACTTGTATTGATTTAATAAAATGCTTATTGGACAGTAGCCAAGCAGCAAGTATAAGTGGGCTGACCAGAACAGAATAATTCTGGGTAAAGGAAAAGACTCAGTCTTCAGTTGTCACCCAGATGCAGAGGAAGCAAGACAAGAATGCCTTACTAATAAAGGTACCAAGCCATGTGGCTAACACAGACAGGAATTTTGAGTTAGTGTAAGATGTAAGAGTTAGTAAAGAAAGCCTGAGCTAATAGGCCAACTAGTTTAAAATTAATGTAGACTTCTGTGTGTTTCTTTGGGACTGAACGGCTGTGGGACTGGGCAGGACAGAAACCGCTGTCAACAAATGAGTAGAGGTATTTCATATCCAAAACCTATTTGTTATAGCTACAATATTGATATGAATGCAGACAAAATACATAATGTACCATAAATAAAACATCTACAAATGCCACAACAATGGGTGTTTAGATATTGATAATTACCAACCTTATATTAAAACTTCTTCCTTCCTGTATACTGGGAATTGAGCTTAGAGCCTTGAACGTGCTATTAAGTGCTCTACCACTGAGCTATATACCATGCCCTCCCTTTACCACTTCATATTTTAAGACAGGGTGTTGCTAAGTTATCCAGGCTGGGTGTGAATTTGCTCTGTAGCCCAGACAGGCTGTAAATTTGTGATTCTGCCTGATGGCAGAGGAGACACAACCCTCAGTTTCATTTTCCATCTTCTATTGAAGTTAGACGTGATCATCAGATGAAATTCTGGCCAATGAGAAGGAAGTAGAAAGTTTGGGGTTGAAAGTGAAAGGCTGGAAAAGCTAAAGGCCTCAGCCCCCAGGATAAGTTGAAGGCCACGGAAAAGCTGAAGGCTGGCACCCCAGCTCCCAGGATAAGTTGAAGGCCGTGGGATCCCTCTTTAGAAGAAGTATTAGTTAATGGAGGACCCACGTTACACAAAGTTGCTGACCCTATTCTCCCACTCAGAGTCAGACAGAGAATGTTGACCACCCAACTTCCCCTATCAGTTGCGTAATATTTCAAACAGCCCCTGAGGTTAGCAAAGGGTTAGCAGATGTCTGGAGGACATAACCGAGGGGCTGTTGCTATCTGCCTTAGATAATAATAGCCTATCAGGAACTAACAGCTAAGCTTTATCTAACCTTTAGCCAATTATGATATAGGAAACGTAATTTTGTATTTTGAAACTGTAACCTTGTGACTGCTTTGTAATTTTTGTCTTTATAAACCCCTTACAATAGTAGACGGGGTCCTTCTCCCTCCATCTACTGTGCCAGACTGTGAGGCAGAGGACCCGTGCTAGCCTGTTATAAATGAAACCTTGCTTTTGCATTTGAAAGTATGGCTCCGTGGTGGTCTTCTTGGGGGTCCCAGGACTCGGGCACAACGAAAGTCTAGTTAAGTCTTTTTAGCAATGGAGACTTGCTTTCCTGAACGTGGATGTAATGGCTGGCACTTCAGAGGCAAGCTTGGAGGACTAGAATCCTGGATCTGTAAGCCTTCAAGGATGATAAACAGATGCACAAACATGGCAGGACACAGAGACAGAAGGAGCCAGGACACCAATGACTCAAACACTCTCTGAACTTGGATGTAGAAATCTGTTTCTGCCTTAAGTTCTTGATATGTTCACTGTAAGTGTAACTCCAGGTGATGCTAAAGTTGTTTTTTATTTTTGAAAGAAAGGTTTTGGGGAAATTATGAAAGACAGGAATGTCTTGAAAGGGATTTTAAAGCAGTGGCTCTTGCTGGGTGGTAGTGGCGCACACCTTTAATCCCAGTGCTCTGGGGGCAGAGGCAGGAGGTTTCTGTGAGTTCAAGGCTGGCATGGTCTACAGAGCAAGGTTCAGGACAGTCAGGGCTACACAGAGAAATCCTGTCTCGAAAAACAAAAATGCAAAATCATAAAGAAGCAGTGGTTCTCAATCTTCCTAACACTGCAGCCCTTTGATCCTGCTCCTCATGGTGTGGTGACCTCCAATCATAAAATCATTTTATTGCTGTTTTATAACTGTAATTTTGCTACTTTTATGAGTTATAATGTAAATATTTTTTTAAGATATACGTTTGCTAGAAGGGTCATGACTCACAGGTTGAGAACCACTGTTTCAAGTCTTCCTAGGAGGAGTTGTCGCAGTTATAGGGGATAAGGAACTCTAGAAAATTGCTTATTTCTACCACAAGCTTCATTAAAAACGATTTTATTATGATTTTTGATCTTTCAATAACTTCATACTTAAAATTTAACATGAAGAGTATTCAGAGCACATTTTCAGCCTTCCACGGGATTCAACTACTGCTGCAATTTACTCTGTCTTTGCCAGTTTGTTTCCTCACCACACATTAACCATTATATGAATATTAAACTGTCCACCCCAGTCCTTTTCCTATGCACCACTAGCCCCTAGACATTTCCTAAAAGTAGTAATATCCTTCTTCATAATAAGAATCCAGTCTACAATTGAAGGGAATATCACACATAGGCACTGGGGCCACAAAGCTCTTAGCCTTTTGAAGGTCTCAACCCCTTACTTCGCTGCATTTCTCCCTCCAATGTAGGACATGACCTGTGCTCAGATATTTCCATAACCTTCAATTGTCTTCTGTCTCAATAACATTTTGAAGTCTGTCACTGTCCTCTTTTTTGCTCGAATATTCCTCGTTGGTCTTCTGTTTTCTCTTGGTTAGAGTCAAGTATGCGTTCTACACCAGATGCTTCTCTGAGGTCACTGTGTCCTTCCCCAGGCGTCCTACGTGGAGTCACACAGAGGCCGTCTGCTCCTCTCTGCTGAGGTCAATAGGGCAGTGAAAGTGTTGCTTAGTTTTCACCCTGTATAATTGCTTTGTTTTCACCTTGAAATTAATTAACAGCATGTGTGGTAAGACCCATTAAGTCCATGCCAAGTTTCTGGTCTTCATCAAAATCTCTTTTTAGATTTAGCATCCGTTGGTGTTTCTTGTCTGATTCAATCTTCCTTTGGATACTATGATAGTGTAAAGTATTTTTCAATCTCTTCCCACCCCTGACATTTACTTGCCAGCATTCAGCCTTAGGTAAGAGACTTCCTCCTCTCCCCTCCCCATCTCTCTAGTTGCAATGCATTCCTTAAAAAAATATGTATGTGACCCTTTTTCCACAGCAAGACTTCGACTTTCAACAGTATAAGATCGCTCATTCACGGCTCAATCCTGTAACGTATCTGAATTGTTTCAGAATCACATCACTTGTATTACTGCAAAAGCAAATCTATTTTTAAAAAAGTCAATTGTAAAAATAATAAATTTGCTATAAGTAAATCTGTTTTAAAAGGCATTTTGAGGACTGGAGAGATGGCTCAGTGTAAAAGCACTTGTTACTTTTACCATATGTTTGTATCCAGGCATCTATGTCAAGTCATTGACGAATCTCTGTAACAGTCTCTTTTGGTCTCCATGGGTACCTGCATGCACATATGTGCATGTACATAAATAGAAACATACACAATTAAAATGCAATAAAAATAGATTACCTGTTTTCAGTTGTATACCCACCCTCTTTTCACTCCATAAATATTATTTTAAGAACAAAACAAGTTTAAAGTGGAATCAGTGTGCACTCCTGTTGATTCCACTGGCCTGAGACTATAAACATAGCTTGAGAAGACTAGAAATGGTTTTTGCTCCAGAATCCAGTGTTTCTTATGTTTGGCACATTAATAATGCTGAGTGTAAATCCTAAGTGACTGATATGTGTGTATATATGTTGATGTGCATACATGCATATATGTGATGGCTATTGGTAAGTAAAAGTGTTTGTCTAAATGTTCAAGCTTACTATGAGCATACATTTTTGTTTTTAACACTCAGCAAAAGAAATGAGTTGTATCATGTTGCAAAGTGTAAAAGGTCAATCTGGGAAGTCTGCATGTTGAGTGAATCCACCATTTGGGAGGAGGCAGAATTATAGAAATAGTAATCATAGGAATGGTAAGATAAACCTGTGGTTTGTAAGGCTTAGGGAAGGTGGCTTAAGTCATGAATAGGTGGAGAAGGATTCTTAGGGAGGTGAAGTATTCTGTATGGCACTACATACCCGAAATTCACCTTTAAGAAATGTGTATGCAATGTATACAAAAGAGTAAAATTCAGGATTACATCACACGTTGCCAGCAGTTATAAAATCGAAAGATTATTTGGGGAAGAGAAATGAGAAGCTAATATTTGTTCATTTAATTTTTTCTGCCATGATACCAAGAAGCTACATAGAAATTCTCTGAGAGGTTTTGGTGTGTTCCCGGCTCTGTTGTGTTTTAGGTGAACCTGGAGACACAGAGAAAGTCATGATGCTTAGAAATCTTGGCTGAGGGTCTCAGGCTTGTTTCCCAAAGAACGTGAAGATCAGAGGGAGAGACTTTTCACAGCTCAGACCCAGACCTCTCAGGTTCCCCGCCTGTGTCAGTTTGTTGGAATAGATCTAGAACACAAGAACTCTTTCTTATACATCTCTCTCTGCACTCACAAGCAAATATATCACCCACTGCATCCTGTGTGCTGCACTATTCTCCACGTCCAAGGCCCTTTTGATGGTCACCTCCTCATCGCTCTCTTTCAGAGGAGTGTCATCTCTTGCCTGAAGTCTGGTGCCTCCCTCTGGATGTTCTCACCAAGGTTGGATTGCTGTAGCCAGGTTAGCCTTTTGTAAAGAGAAGGGAAAAGGCTTTATGTGAAGCAAAACATAAACGCCGTAAAGTGGTCAGACTTTGATGTGGGAGTCCCCTCTGGATGCTGTGAATACCACTGGTTAATAATGAAAATTGCCTGGGCTTGTTGATAGGGCAGAACTTAAGTAGGCAGGGGAAAAATAAACTGAATGCTCAATTCAAATTTACGTTCTTATACACTATAGTCACTATTTAAATCACATAGATGTAGTAAAGGCCTCTGATAACCTAGAAACCTCCAATGTGGTCCTGTTGCAACATCCTGGTTTTGGCCAATGGGAAGGGAAAGTGCTCTCGATAAATGTTGGAAGCAGTGTCTCAATTCACCTTCTGTGGGAGGGAAGTCAGTTACACCTGAGAGGTGTCTGTTGTAGTGAACAGTCATGGGCTCATTCACAATTCTGTTATCATAGAATAAAGGGAAAATAAATTGTGATGGAAGCAAGGTGCTTCTGTTACAATATTATCATCATATTTTCTAACTTAAAAAATATTTTTATCTCACTATATATTTAGCACTTCTTTAGATTTTTTTCTCAGTAAAGTTAATAATCCCTACTCCATGTCCTGCATGCTTTTTTAAAAGATATATATTTTGGAGTTTCATATTCTAAGCACTTTGTTCACTTAATTTTCTGTGTGGTCTATAGAGGGTAATGCGAATTAATCTAGTATGTTTCTTTTATATATTTATTTTTTTAAACTAACACCCCTGCTTGGTATATTTGCCTATGGTACTTATATAATCTGTGCAACACACAACTATAGTTCTTAAAAAGCAACTAAAATTATATCTATACAGTGACTTTATGCTCTGGGAGTGTGGAATCAAGCATGTTTTGGATAGTACTTCCTTTGTACTCATCTCTCAGTTGTGATGTCATCTGATGGACAGCCTTTTCAGAGACTGCAGCTTCCTCTTCTATCTGGTGTAGGGATCACAGTGTGCAGCTGATCTTTATCCAGGAGTCCTTCTCCCTGAGTATCCTCTGGGGAAATAGGAACAATGATTAGAGGGAAGCTGAGAGGCCAGAGCTCACAGGCTCTGCACTGGAGTGGGCTGGAGAGGGAGAAGGGCAGGAGACCATTATTCACTAGTCTCTTCTGCTCCGGCACACAGTCAGCAATGATCCTAGACTGCCTACAGGTGACTGTGACGTAGTCCCTGCGCTAGCGTCCTGAGGATTTTATATAACTACTGTCTCTCTATCTTTCTTGTTTTTCAGGTGGTCATTATGGTGAACAGGAAGTGGCTGATTTATTTCATTTGCCTCTCCCCGTGGATGACCCCACTCAGTCTTCCTTGTTTACAAACTCCAGGAGGGTCATCCATGGTTCACAAATGATTCACAGACTGTGAGAGCTGACTCCTGTTGAGTCAACAAGGCCAGGATGGCAGGTAGCACAGCTCATCTCTGCAGGTTCCATGATTCACCCACCCAACATGTGGCTCCTCAGCACCCACGACAAGGTCAGCAGGGCAGTAAATTGCACAAATAAGCAGACCACATGTCAAAACAGACAGGGGTAGCTTCAACTTGTATCTAGTAGGAATAAAAGTCCAAAAAGACGAGATGGGAATCAAGTTCTTCCTCTTGAGTCCTTGCTTTTTCCAGTGACTGCTCTGGCCTGCAGAAGGTCAGTGGTATCTCTGGTATTTCACAGAGGGAAGCCTGTGAGGAAAGAGGAAACCAGGGGTGTTCAATCAAAGTGCCCAGTGTTAGGTCCTTGCCTTACCTGAGTTAGTCTAAAATCAGTTGCCAGTGTAATTTTTTTCTTTAATCTTATCAGTACCAGAAGGAGACTATAGACATTTCAATATAAATATGGATTTCAGGGTAAGTACAACTTAATAGTTTCTTCTTTCAAGAAACTCTAGATGATGCCGTGCCTCTGGCTGAGGAACCTGTTCTTTGTGCCACACCTTATGGGGAAGACACTGCTGCCAAATTCCTGCACACAAATCCCCAAAGAATGCCTTTGAGAGTGTGTTTGCTAGGCCTTGTCAAGTTTTTCTGTGGAGGGCGGGTCAGCCCAGGGAGCAGGCTACATACCTTTCTGGGGAGACTAGGAAGCTGCCCTGCAAAGCAAAGGGCAGAAGAGCTTGGGAGCCTTACTTCAGGTGTTTACTGGAGTTCAGATTTTACCTGGAGGTTGTTCAGAGCACCTCTCTCTTCCCCTCTCTCTTTCCTCCCCCAGGCCCCGTGTGTGTGTGTGTGTGTGTGTGTGTTATTATATGTTTTTATTCACTTTACGAAGCAGCCACAGTTCTCCCTCCCTCCCCTCCTCTCCCTTCCCCTGTCTCCCCCTAACCCACCCCAACCATTCCTCAGAAAAGGTAAGGCCTCTCATGGGGAGTCAATAAAGCCTGGCACATTCAGTTGAGGCAGGACCAAACTCCCCAGTCATGTGTCCTTACTGATGGCTCTTTTACTGTGATATCTTTAAATTTTCACGTAATAATTTTGCACATTTACATGCATATGGAGTGACATTTCAATGTGTCAACCTTAAAAGATGATTAGATCAGGGTAACTGGTGTACTTGGGATAATCTACAACCTCAAATACCTATAATTTCTTTGTGTTATGAGCATTCAAAATCATCTCTATTATTTTGAAATAGTGATATTGATATTGAAATATTGTTAATTAAGTATGCCAACCACAGTTACCTCACTGCACTGTGGAATGCTAGAAGTGACTTTTCTTGCCTGACTTCACCCCTAGGCCTGTTGACTTTCCTGTCTGTCTCACCCGCTAGCCCCCATCTTTCCCTGGTAACCAGAGTCCTGCTCCTGGATTCTGAAGTTGACATTTTAGCTTTCACGCTTACGTGAGAACAAGGTAGTAATTGTCTTTCTGTGCCCAACTTGCTCCATTTACTGTGACTGACTGAGTTTTTAACATTTTGTGGTGGGCCTCTGGTCTTGACAAGCCACAGTCATGTGACATGTGATGGTGTTCCTTCCTTCTGCTCTTGGGGTTACTCCGGGAGTGCCCACAAAAGCTCACACTCCTCCCAGGCCTCTGCTGAGAAGGGAGAAACAAAAGCACATGTCAAACTCCTCTTTGGATTCCACTTCTGGCTTCATCACCATCAAATGTTGTGTTTATTATGAGCTGCCCCACTCAACGGACACTACAGTTTTTTTTTTTTAACTATTGGAAGTCATAAGGATTGGACAAAAGAGGCTTTATTGGGACCTAATGGGAGTTATTTTTTTTTTGAAAGACGGGTGATCTCTCTCTAATCTAACAGTCACGAATTACTTTGACAGATAACAAAATGGGGCTTATTTGGGAAAGAAAAGGCAGTGAAAGAAGTCATGTTTTTAGGTGGTAGCAATCTGAGACTAACACATTGCTATGTGCCTTATTCTTGAATCTGAGGTGAAAATCAGAGTGTATGGATTACACCCATTTCTGTAAGGAAATGGATCGGTGGTAGTGGCTTTCATTCACAGAGACAATGAATAAAGAGCAATAATTGATTCTGCAACATGAACGCATCTGATTAAAAACTCCCTCCTCCTCCTCTTCCTGGCTTGCCCATTCAGTGCCAGTCAGACTTTGATGGCTCTTTTTTTCAAGGATGGAGTCTAGTTACAGAGCTTATCAAAGGCTCATAAAGAAAAACATTAAAGAGTGAAGAAGAGTGCATTGAGTGTCTCTTTATCCCTCTGTCTGCACCTTCATCTAGTTGGCTGGTCAGGGATTCTGGGAAAACAAGTCTAATGAAGTGGGTGGGTCCCCATGTCATCAATATTGGTGAGCTTCCTATGAGCGTCAGACGTTTGGCTGTGAATGAAAGGGAATTCAACCTATTTTTCTGGGGACCTGCTCTGGCTCTCAGAGGCTTTGGACAATAGTCTGAGTCACTGAACTTCACCAAGAGACCCACAATAGAGAAGAAGCATGAAGTCCATTGACTTTGCTTAGCAGGTCCTGTGGTTGTGGTTACGGATGTCTGTAGATTCATGTTGTTGCGTAACAGAGACCAAACATGTACACTCCCCAGCCTTTCTCTGAAGGGTTGGCCATGGGTGTGTGAAGTCAAGACTCCTTCCCTGTTTCTGTGTTGCAGAATTATAGTTAGGCTGGATGGACGAGTCAGGTGATGTGGCGATGTTGGAGGGGGAGGGAGATCCGAAGACTGGTGAGAATTTGGGGGTTGACTTTTCAGCACAGAGCCTATGGGGATTGACTGTAAAGGCTTCTCACAGGCACATGAGGCAGGGGGTGATAAGAAGTAGAGCAATGGCAGCAGCAGGAAGGGGCGGAAGAAATGTTGAGAAGCAGAGAGCTCCTCCTCTGGCCATTTGCCTGCTGTGAAACTCTAGCTGTGTTTTTAAGGTCTCTGAGTCTCAGGTTTCGTTTTTATTCCTGTGAGATGACAGTATTTTGCAATGCTGATATGAGATGCCATGAGTCTGTAGTCTTAGCACCGAGGAGAGCGAGGCAGGAGGACAGCAAATCTGAGGCCAGCCTGGACTACATAGGGAAACACTGCCAAAGGAAAAAAAAAGAAGAAAGGAAGGGGGAAGGAGAGAAGGAGGAAAGAAAAGGAAGGAGGAAGGAATTGAGGGAGAAAGGGAGAGAGGAGAATTAAGAAGAGAGAAAAGAAAGTTGGAGGGTGAAGTCAGATAAGGCTGGACGCTTGTTGACATGGTGCATGGTAGAGATGTACCCCCTGGTTTTAAATGGACAGCTATAGCATTTCCACACAAACTAAGTTAATGAATTTAATGTTTTCCAGTCAGGGTTTCTCTGTAGCTTTGGAGCCTGTACTGGAACTAGTCCTGTAGACCAGACTGGCCTCAAAATCAGAGATCTGACTGCCTCTGCCTCCCGAGTGCTGGGATTAAAGACGAGCGCCACCACTGCCTGGCTAAGCTAAAGAATGTTATTCAAGCCTCCCAGACCACTCAGAGGCTCATTTTATTGTTTATAAAATAAAATACTTGATAAATCCTATTCCCCTTTTCTTCTTTAACTTCTCCTCGAACAAGGAGGGAGAGAAAAGCAAAAGCCGCATCTTTCCAATAGGACTGGTCTGCACAGGTCGGGGGTTACGTGTCAGCAGCCATGGCTGCTGCAGGGCATTCTGCCATGCTCTCCCTTTCCATGTTGCCCGCCGCTGCTTCTTCACACTACAGTGGCAGACTTGAGGGGTTTGCGTATGGCCAGCAGAGCCCCAAAGAAATACTTTCTACCTAGCCTTTAGGAGAAAGATGTCCTGTCTCTGGCTGAGCTGCACATGAGAGGCATCCCACATTTCCTCTCTGATGCTGCCATGGACCTGTGCCCCATCTGTGCTGGAAATCAAGGACTGCCATGTTTTATTCTCTATTGTTAGATTTGAAGATTTCTTAAATTCTTGGGAGGAATCTCCCCTAACGAGGAGGAGATGTTTTGTAAGATGTATTTTTTTTTTTAAACTAGCTGTCGTGTTTTAAGCTGATGAGAGTTTGGGAATCTCAAGTTGTTATTACATCAATTATGCAATACTTGTATATAGGTAAGTGTAGCTGAGTCATGTTTTAGCCTGCCTTCACCTTCTCTATATCTGGTGCTAGTAACAGAGCTGATAAAGTTGAGTTTTGTTTTTATGAAAGACATGGGAATGTTAGCAGGTATAATCTTCCCGAATAAAACAATTATTAAGTAGACACAGTGGAAGACAAAGTGGGAATCAGTGGTGGAAACCTAAAAGCATATAAAACTTTAAAGGCGCCCAGGATACAGGAACTAAGACCGCAGGTTGGGACTGGGGAGACAGGTGAGCAGACAAAGACACTGATGGATAGAGCAAACCTTGTCGACATTTTAAGTTGACACCATTTCTCCCAACCAGAGTCTCACATTCTTACTGGAGCAGTTATAACTAAAGGCTATTGAGAAAAGTTAGATTCGATAATTTTAGAATTGTGGTGTGAATGTGTATATATGAGTATATGTGTGTGTGTGTGTATGTGGTTGAATATGTGTGTGTGGTTGTGTGAGTGTGTGTGTATGTGTGTATAGTGTGTGTGTATGTGGAGGTGGATCTCTGAATCTGTGTTAAACTCCAGATGTCACGGTGCACAGCTGCAATCCCAGCACTCCTCTGGTGAGTTGGGAGTCAGAGACAGGAGGTAGCCTCGAACCTTGCAAGCTGGCGTATGCTAGCACAAGCTGCAGCCATAGACACCCATCTGCCTCAGAAAGCTAGAAGAGGGGAATTCACAAAGTTATCTCTGATTTCCACAGGCACATAGAGGTGATCGCCAGTCTTGTGTCCCCCTCTACTTATCCTTTTTCTCCCTCTTCCTCTCTTCTCCTTTTCTCTGGCAGCTCTGCCTATCCCTCTCCTGCCTAGCTATCGGCCATTCAGCTCCATATTAGATCAATCAGGCGTTTTACGCGGGCAAAGTAACACAACTTCACAGAGTTAAGCAAATGCAACACAAAAGAATGCAACCCATCTTTGCATCACTAAGCAAGTATTCCCCGGCATACACAAATGCAATACATCTTTAACTAATATTCCACAACATGCACAGATCCGGGCTGTGCTCTTCCACTGGCCTGTGTCCTGATGGCACATGAAGTGCGTTAAGCAATGCACCAGCGCTAACAGTGCTGGCGGCAATTTATATTAATTATGGCATCTATCTACTCCCAGGCAAGAGAAGTTGATTCTGTAATCACCACCGTAATGATGTCTTTTGTGCTAACAGGTATATTACATTTTCTTCATTCACCTGGGAGAAAAATGAAGAGTCCTCTTTAAAAAAAAACACCCAAAGTTCAGGAAAAATAGTCTAGAGATAATGACTTGTCCTTATCAGTTTTGAAACGACTTTGAGATGGAGAGATAATGGTCATTTAATAACAATTATTAAAATAATATGCAAAGGCTCTTTAGAACAATGCTGAGCCCACAGAAAGTACAATACCTGTTTTCTCTTTCCAATGCTATATGGAATAAGTGCTCACAGGAGCTGGTATTTCCTTAGAACACGTAGATAAAGCAGCACGGCATTATGATATCCGAGGGACAGGGTCCAGGGTCTACAGTGGACAGTGCTATTGGGCAATCCTGTCAAGTCCGGACTTGCCTTATAAACCTCATTTCATCTCTGTAGGTAGCTGCCGCTAATCTTGTCACAGCCACCCAACATAAAATTGCCATTGCAGCTTCTGAACTTTCATTGGGAGCCCCCGGGAACCCAGGGTGCAATGGGGCTGACCAAGCCCGGTTATTCCAAGCATCGTCAAGGCTTTGCAGTTCAGGCTGGAGAGAAACTAAAGTCACACCTACCCAGCTACCACCACGCCCAGACACTTTCATATTTGACCTCTTTCCACTCCTTGGAATTCTCGAGTTTCAGACAGTCTCACTGAAGAATGCCTCTCTACTGTAAAGAAGTCTGGGTTTCGCTCAAGTGTTTCGAATGAGTCCTCTTTTGAGTCAGAGTTGAAAGATACTGGTTTGGCTTAGTAAACCAGGGGTCCTGACAGACAAGGGAGAGAGACGCTGATTACAGAAAGGAGTAATTGTTTGTAAGCTCAAGGATGTCAAATGTGTCTTGGACAGCTATGCTTTTGAACTTCACCATGAGGTGAAACCCCATTTTTCTTCTGCATGCTAAGCCCAGCTAGTACTGTTTATGTACATGGGTGTGAGACCACCTGCTGGAGCATGGGAAATATACCAGCTGCCCTATCCTTAATAAAGAATGAGTTTCCCTCTGTGATGCCAGTAACTCCTCACTGTGGGGGTGAGGCCTGGAGACCATCGATGCAGGGATTTGGATTGGCTTGCTCTTGTAGAAGATAGGTCTCATTTGGTTTTCTAATTTTCTCATGGGGGTTAGTAATATCCAATCTTACTCTAATCTGTGCTTTGACACTACGACAAAATTTTAAATTTTATTTTAAAAATAGTTTAGGGAGCTGGGGAGATGGCGCAGTTAGTGGAGAACTTGCAGTACAAGTGTGAAGACCTACACTCAGTTCCCCAGCACCTACATAACAGTTGGGTACAGTGGGTGTCTACGACCTTAGCCCTGTGGTAGTGGAAGCAGAGAGAGTGGATCCTTGGAGATTTTCAGCAGGGAACCCCGTCTCATAAATAAGATGGAGAGCAACTGAGAAAGACACCTGAGATCAACTTCCAGCATATGAGTACATGCAAACAGCCCCTACCCTCATGCACACACACACACACACAATTACATGTAACTAGTTTACATACACTACAAGTCAGAGCTATATGTTTCACCATGTAAACCATCATTGCTTTAGATTTTCAAAATCCCTCAGCCTAGGATTAAGGCTCATTCAGGAAGTGACCGCCTGCAATCAGCAAGTGATCAGCTGCAATCCATCTTGCAATTGTCTGGCTCTCCCTCCTGGATGTGTCTACCTGTTTTTCTTGTCAAAGGCACAGCTAAGCTGGACTGCAGTGTTTAGGAGCAGCCTTAAGGAGGTTAATTGGTGTGCTGATGATTTAAGATGACCCAGGAAGCATAGATGATCCAGCTCCTTTTAGCCATGCTCCAGAACGCTTAGCTTCCTTAAATCCTCCTTGCTGTTACAAAAGCTATGCCAGCATCAGTTGGAAGAGAACTTTAAACCATTCTTATCACATTAAAAAATTAAAAATGCATGAAAATTGTATTGTGTGTGTGTGTGTGTGTGTGTGTGTGTGTGCATGTCAGAGTCTGCATATGCTGTGAGGACAGCCTGCAGGAGTCAGTTTGCTCCCTTCACCACGTGGGCCCTAAGGACCAAACTCAGGTCATCAGACTCGGCAGCCAGCGCCTCTACCCACCGAGCCGTCTTGCTGGCTCTCTTTTAAATTTCATTTTAAAAAACACATTGTGAAACAATATAAGGATGAGGAGTCTTACATTTGGGGTGTGATAGTCCTCTGACGTCTCTATGAAACGTTCCGCATGTGGGATTTCTGTAAGGGATTCCTTCTGTACCTTCTGGTCCTAGATTTCGTGCAGATGTTCCCTTCCCAACTGAGCAGTACAGATGTCTATGGCCCCACATCCCAAATAGTATAGGGAGGGATGGAGGGAGAGATTCCTTCTACCCGAGGTTTCATTTTGCTTTTAAAAACACGTTCGCAATTGGTTGGCTGGGATCCAGCTTGCCAGTGTCGTGTGTTGTGGGTATTAGTTAAAAGAGTAAAAAGAGAGCATTTGGGGCACAGCACCGAAGTAATATGAAGAACTCACCAACAGAGACAGTAGCCCTGCGAATGAGACTGTTTCTGTTGAGCTGGTATTTGTACAAGGCGACACCCTCTTTCACACCGCCTACCTCCTCCCTGCGTGACTCAGTGCTGAGAGAGAAGCCTGTAAGCTGTTCATTAACAGAGTCAAGTGGAGGTGGGAAAGGCTCCTAGGAAGCTCCAGGTGCCCATTTGTTTCAGTCAGATCCTCTTGGGGAACCACTGCGGGCCAGTGAGGCAAGAGTCCTGGGTTTCTGCGCAAGAAAGGTAAGCTGGGTTCTACTTGCAAAGATAAATGCAGCTGCTTTGCATTTCGCGCGGAACTTTCTCTGCTCTCCCTCCAAACGATTCAGATCGGGGCTGTCTGCATTATCTTTGACTTGTTTCCAGTTAAATTTGACGGCCTCTGATGAGCATTCTGTGTGCCGGTAGCTCCGCACTTGCAGGTCCCATGGCTTTTAACTTGGCTGTGGTACACATCATGGCATCACAGAGACGGAGAGCCTTTGAGTTTCCCGTGGGAGCTGGCAGCTTGGGAATTCGACTTCACATAAAGATAATGAAGCTCTCACTCAGCACTCACTAGTCTGTTTTCTCCAGTGACTATAAAATTGTTTTATAAAAGGATCTTCCTGTTTTCATAGCTGATGTTTCTAGCGAAATTTTAAACTTTATTGATGTATAAATAACGTCATTTTTTTTTTCTCAACTGTGACAAACACTGCAAACCCATTCAACCTTCCTTTCTGAAATAAGAAAAATGGGACGGAGTAAGGATGGGATGGCATGGAAATTTGTGGTTCTTCACAGGTGTCTGTGAGGACTTTGCTATGTTACATTCTGAAGTTCTGAATTAGTCTGAGAATAGATTAGAGTATGCAGAGGCAGTTTTCAACCTCTCTGCCCATCTTACTCCTGGAAAACCAGCTGGCTTGTCTGACTTATTTTTTTCTTTTATCGCTTCTGTTTATGATACAGAGTAGTGGGAATCAAGTCCAGCTTGTGGTAGCAGCCCTTTCTCCTGCAAATCCGGAGAGCTAGAGGTTTCATTGCGTTCTTGACTGTCTCGGGAGCTGGGACATGCCAGTGCTCAGTTCCCAGAGGTTTACTGGCGAGTTTGATGGCTTGGTTTGTCTACACGTTTAGGACAAAAAGCCCCAGGATAGCATATGTGGAGTGCAGTTTTGTTTTTCATGAAGTTGAAAACTGTCTCCCTCTTCTGTAGATGACGACACAGATACAGCCTTTCTGATACTGGCTATGCTCTAGTATCTAAAATATTGGAAAAGCTAAGCATTTAAGAGTTTACTAAGACATTTGGATTCTAAATGTCAAGATATACAGAGAATGCATGGAAACAGGTCAGAATTTTATAGAAATTTAGGTATATGTTAATCTTAGCATCTTATTGGCATAAATTTTCAACTGGAAGGGAACTATGAATCATATAGTCCAGTTTTTACATTTTCTTTTAAAAACTTCTTTATTACCATCATTATTGTTAGTGTGTGTTTCGGTACGTTTGTGATACGTGTGTGAGGATGGGCGTGTGCATGCCACAGCACATATGTGGAAATCAGAGGACAACTTTCGGGAGCCATTTCTCTCCCTCCACCTGATTACGGCAGCATCTCTCTTCTGTTTCTGCTGTGCGGTGTAGGACAGTCTATCTGGCCCTCTGAGCTTGAGGGCAGTCCCCCTGCCTCTGCCTCTCATTTCACTGCAGGGGAGCTTAGACTGCAGACATATGCTACCACACTGAGTGTTTCTAACTTGGTTTTCAGGGATCGAATCAGGTCTTTAGGCACCGAGCCACCTTTGAATTTTCAAGATGAAAAAAAAAAAAAAAAAAAAAAAAAAAAAAAAAAAAAAAAAAAAAAAAAACAAAGACTAAGTATTAGGCAACATCCCAGGCCTGGAGTAGCAGAACCAGAACGTGAAGTCAGATCTTTGTCATTCGCCTTATCAGATCGTCTCAATGACTTCTCAGATTTCTTTCATATAAAAAGAAGTAATAAAACAAACTACACTCTATCTTTATAGAAGGACCATAAGTGATCCATAAACAAGAGTGTCCTTGCTCAGCAATATATGACAAAGCTCATGTATGTGGTGTGATTTTGACAAAGAAATACATTTTTATTTTGTGGCATTTGGACTTGGCCTGTTTATTTTATTTTATTTTATTTTATTTTATTTTAGTATTTGTAGGGTTAAACATTAAGTGCCAACAGCCCCTTGGCATGAAGTTGTCTGGTAGATAAGTGCAGGCTCTGGTCTGGCCCCCACAGTCAGCATCATCCGCACCTCCGCTGCCATTCTTTAGGCTCTGTTTCCTGACTGTCAGAATTCTGATTGCTCTTCTTGAGAGACTCCCATTCCTGGGAACTTCGTAAATGCTTTGCATGATTGAGTACATTCGGAGGAATGAACTCCGTAGAGTCCCCCAGGCAGTCAGCTCAAGAAAACATGATTTCAGATAACATCTGGTATGGCGGATCCTTCAACCCCAAGCATTCTTTAAAAGCAAGGAGGTGAGATCCTTAGCCCAGGAGTCTTAGAGAGAAATTGGAGCTGTTCCCCCTCCCCCAGATTCCCTTCTGGCAATAGCCCGCTTCTCAGCCATTTGGGGATCTTTTTCTATTTTCTCCTCTCAAGAACTTTGAATGAATAAAAGTGGTAGATGTTAGTTCCTATACACCCATCTGCAGCTGCCTGGTGTGCCCCGTTTGCTGTGGTGTGAATCTGTTATGGTTTCCAGATTTGGGTGTGTCTCTTCCTCAAGTACATGCTTTGCAGATGACAGCTTCATTTATGACACTTGTGTTTTGTGTCAGTTGTCAGATTCTTTAAAGAGATGGATTGCCCTTTCGTTGTGATCATTACTCAGAAGTGTGAATGCTGTAGCTGTGTGTGAAATGCCAGGAGGTTTGTATCCAGACAAGAAAACCAACTGTCCTGACCGGTCCTTGTAACTGCACACTCAAGAACGCTAAGAATCGAAACAATTTACCCTTGTTCTCTAAACCCAGCGTTCTCGGCTCTAAAATGTTAGTAAATCTCTTTTATGTGGACGTTACCCTAGAAGACAGTGAGCTAGTTACCAAGTTCCCTGCAGTGCATACATCCCAGGAGACTGTAGCAGGCTCCTTGAAGGGGCATGAGAATTACATGATAAACAGAGTATGGATGCATAAAAACTAACTTCACTGAAGAGGTCTATGGAAAACTACCTGCATAAGCCTGTTTCTTCTGCTCGTCATCAGGGATGCTGTGTGCAAAAGCTTAAAAGACATCTCTGTGCAAAAAGTTCAAAGGGGCTATCCCCAGTTGGCTTGGCCTTGAATCAACTGGAGCTAGAAATGGTCCATGATAGGACTCAGATGAGAGGTAATTTTTGTAGAATTGATAACTTGTTAATGAGTATTAAACCAGGGTCTCTGTCGGATGAAATGGACAATTCTCCCAGTAATCAGGATACCACTTAGGTGAAATGTCAAGTTACCCTGCAGCAAGGATCAGGAGGGTTTCATGTGTTATAACCAAGAACCATCAGAAAGTCAATTTTATGTGAGGGGGTTATAGAGATACAGAAAATTGGAGGCACTCAGAGCTCTAGCTAGAAAAAGATTTCATTTGTGCTAAAATTTGGGTTCCTTTCATCACCAATAGGCAGATTGCCATTGCTAAGCTTAGGCTCCCAGCCCGAGAGAAAACCAATGACCCATTCCTAACCTTCCTAGCAGGCTAACTCAAGACCAGCTGAGAAGCTGGCCTTTCCTCCATTGGGTTAGACTCAACAGAGATGTTTATTCTCTCAAACCCATTTACAAATTAACCTAAGGGGCTTATCAAAATAGATATAAATAGCTAAGACACCTAGAAATATCTATTTGTCTTTTCCTTCCCTAAGATTTTGTGGTTTTGGTAGGGGTGATAATAGCTCTTTAAGGATAGTTCTCTTTACAGGTCTGTCATTATTGGCTCCCTCTTATTCTTCTTTTAAAAATAGTTTTACAGACATCATCCTCTTGCTGTTTGTGTGATCCCGCATGTCACAGTAATTTCCAAGGAACAACATACCCAGGGCTTCTCTATCAACCGAGGTACATAACACTCAGGCCAATGCCTTTACACTGGTTTCTAAAACACATCCGCTGCACTTCTTTCTACTTCCCATTCTACAGATATTTGTCCTAGGCAAGTGTTCTTGTCGCTTTCCAAAACATCAGCCATTTCCATAAATGCGTGAGGAGTTTCCTAAATTGGAAAAGGATTCTGGAGTCGTCAACCTATCCAATTGCTCCTCTCTGCTGATCTCCTAATACTTTGGTGCCATTGGGCATGAACATCCGCTTTGCCTCATGCGCCTGTTGCCCCTTCACAAGAGTCCGCTGCAAAGGGACTGTTGTTCTATTCGCCATACCCAGTAGTAACTGGCCATTCACTGCCCCCTTTAGTTTGCCGTTTCTAAAACAGGAGCTTGGGTATTTATTAGGTTGGTCTGAGTTTGAGCCTCCACTGTGTTTGAATTCACCAGCTGTGTAACCCCAGGCGAACCATTCATCCTGAGATAATGGTCTCTCAATGCCTTGTCCTAGCTTTCTGTACAATGACTCTGATGTTACTTTAATCACAGCAGTCACATTAACTGCTCTTTGTTGGCCGTGATAGGACATCGTAGACAAGGTAACTTTAAGAAGATAGAATTTATATTGGCTTATAGTTCCGGGCTATAAGAGTTCCTGATGGTATAGTGGAGGCCATAGAGCTGGGGTAGGAAGCAGAGAACTCACATCCTCAAAATAAGCATGAAGGAAAGAGAGCAAACTGGAAGTGGGTCAGACTTTTTCATCTCAATGTCCGTCCCAGGGACGTACCTCCTCCTGAAGACGGAACCACCCAAGCATTTCTAAATAGCCCCATAACTGGGGACCAGGTCCTCAAGTTCACGAGCTTGTGGGGAGCATTTTCACTCAGACGATCACATTCTACTCCCCAGCTCTCACAGAGTCGTGGCATTTCGTGTAGTTATGGAATCAGGATAATCACTGTGAACTACCGACCTAGAAATGTGTGAGTCTTCAATGAGATGATGTGCAGACAACAGAAACTCGTTACCCTAGGACACAGGGTTAATTTCCTTGCCTTTTCCATTTTCTTCCTCTATCCTCTGTTTTGTTCATCTACTTTCAGCTTCACAGTTTTTCCTCTTCCGGCTCGCCTTCCATTTGTTCCCTCTCTGTAACCCTTCATCCATCCAGTCTAAGTTTTTGTTCTCACAATGTTAAGAGAAAACTAGCAGAAAGAGATAAAGGTATTATTCCCCCGAGTCAAGCGGTCTTTTATCTTTGGGTAAGATTTTTAAAGTCTATTTTAGTGAGAAAAGCCAAAGATGAAAAAAATGGTTGCTGAATTGGGAGGTGGCCTAGGGAATTCCAGAAACCGAGGGAGTTCAGGATAGGCAAGGGGAACTGATGGACATTTAAGTTGCCCCAGGAAATGTCACTAGTAAAAACATAAAATTCCAGGTATGTAGCTCAGTGCTGCAATGCTTGCCTAGCATGGATGAAGCCTTGGACTGAATTCCCACACAAACAACTGGGACCAAAAGAGCACAGACAGAGTGCAGATTTAAGAAGCAGGGATGTAGGGTTTCTGAAGCATCCAAGAACTGAGAAGTTTGGATGGTTTCTTGATTCAGAGCTTAAGAGTGATCTCATCTAAACCCCAAGGACAGATGTCTTTGGGCAGAGTGTACAAACAGTGGATGTGAAGGACTGCCTTCTGGTGCTGAGCCATAGAGAGGAAATGAAAGCTAGGCTGGTGGCTGAAAGTTTTATGTATTTGCTTTACTTTGACTTTGTTTTGTTCTGTTTATGCTATTGTCCTTGAGAATTTTGGCTTCATGGTTAGAATTCAAAACTTAGGCTTTGGAAGTTAAAGAAGATTTAACCTTGAATGTTGAACATTACATCTATGGCTCTCTAAACTGTGACTATGGGTATGTGGGCACTGACTATGGGCAAGAACACTAGATTTAAAATGAGAATTTCTAGTCCAGAACTCTGGTTGGCTATGAGTTATTGGATCCTGTGTCTGAGTTTTTGTCTCCTCATTTGCAAACTGTAGCTAACAATACTGACAAACCACAATGTTCTTGCAAGGACTTTGGAAATTTCCATATTTAAAATATAGTTGCTTTCCTGTAGTCCCAAATCCTGGGAACTGGAGGCAGCTTCTGGGATCCAGCCTGGGCTACATGGTAAGACATTGTCTCACAGAAACGGAAGTGGAGTGGCAGAGCTGCTGATGGTGCCACTGTACCACACAGACTCGGGCATCAGCTGTTTGAGGAGATTCATCATTCTCCCAGGAAATTATACACTTTACTGCAATGAGACTGGAAGATGGCACCTAAGAAAAGGTCCACTTAGATGAACCAAGGCTACTAAAGTGGTCTGAGATGGTTGGATGCTGAGTGATTTAAAATCTAGCCAATTCCAATCCTTAAAAAGTAATTCCATTCAAGAATTTCATAAAAATTTGATTTTGCTCCAGTTAATTTTTTATTTCTATTTTAGTTTTTAAACAATCTTTTTTAAATTTTACATACCAATCCCAGTTCACCTCCCTCCCCTCCTCCCACCGACCATCCACTCCTCAGAGAGAATAAGGCCTCCCATGGGGAATCAACCAAGTCTGTCACATCATGTTGAGTCAGGACCAAGGTCCTCCCCCCTGTATCTAGGCTGAGCAAGGTATCCCTCCATAGAGAATGGGCTCCAAAAAGCCAGTTCATGTGCTAGGGATGAATATTGGTCCCACGCTGCAGTTAATTTTTAGCGTTCAATTCGAGAGCCTTGTGATTTACAGAGCATTCCCCAAACGTCATTTGTTAACAAGAATATTCTTCAAATGTATGTTGTTGATCCCTTTTTAACAACTGCTTAAGAACTATCTGTTCATTAAAACCATGTTACTTTCTATCCTGGGCAGAATAGAAGGGTTCCATTGCAGTAGAGCGTCTGAGGAGGTGGAACTGGATGAGAGGGACTTGCATTACAGAGGCATTAGAAGCATCTAGAAATGGCTCTGGAGCACCAAATGGACTGATCAAAGAAGAAGGCAGGTTGACGAGGGTTAGCTGAGGAAAGTTATGTAGGAGAGACAGCAAAAGTCCATCTACACAGCAGACTCTGCCCACCTTCAACCACTGAGCAGACAACCATTATTTCAATAACACTTAAACCAAAAAGAAAAAAATTTCTGTAGTATCATTCATTTTTTTATTTCAGAGGAAAAACAGAATTCTTAATGAACAATTATGACCTGAACAGAGCATGCAATGCATCTTCCTTTGTTATCTAGGTTGCGTCCATGGACAGCATTAGTTTTGGAAATGCATAGGAAGCATTGCTCAGCGGTCTGGCAGCAAGATGGCCCCAGGGGAGCAGTGTTATCACGACTACGTTGGCTTTAGTGTGGTGGGAGCTGAGGCACTCCAGGCTGAGCTGTCTGAAGATGCTGGAGTTGGCCTTTATTACTGTTCTTACCCCAACCACCCTTCCATTGCTGCTTATCTGTTGCTGTTCCAGAGTGGTTCCTTGCATGCATTATATTGGCCCTATCAGATAGCACTTTGGAGTTTATATAGAATCACTTACTGCATTATGGTCATACACACTTAATTACAGTCCCGATTCCCCACTCACTGTGATCTGTGCAGGTTACAACCTGGACTCCTATAATTAGAGATAATAGTACCCATTTGAGAAAACTAAATAAGATCATGCACTCGATCGCAGGAACTGCCACATGGTACCAGCTCACCAAGTGGCCCCTTTTGCTAAAAGCCTACATCACAGATAGATGTGCTGTTCACCAAGACAAGAATCGTGACTCTTCATTGACCTCTGTCAGATGTTAAACCTACTGTGTCCCATACATCTTAGGAACACGGAAGGAGAGCATCGGGCTTGAGTAATAAACACAAAAAAGCAATTTAATTTCTAAGAACAGGAGCTTTGTTGTTCTTCTAGAAAGAAAAGTTAAAGACAGAACCTATGATACTCGTGGTAGCTCTATGACACTGTCAAGTCCGAGATGGGCACTCCTACCTTCGGAGAAGAGCAGCTGGAAGTGAAGAGGGACTTTCCTTCAACCTTCATGATCTGAACTATGAGTGTGTCCACCTGTAGCTTCAATAGAGGCTGAGAAGTGTGGTTTTGCCTGTAAGTAAGGGGGTTGAGGATAATGGGTACTAGAGAGGCCACCATTCTGTGTCATGATACTCTGAAAACATCCTGATTACTTGTGTCTGGGCTTTTCCTTTTCGACCTTTCCCATGTGTACAAGGTTTCTCTGATGGCCCCTGAAATGTCAGAAGAATTACCCAGTTAAAAAACATGTGAGCAGTATTTTTAATGAAAAAAGAAGCAGCCATGGTATCCTGAGAGTGTTTCTTTTTCTTTTTCATTCTACTCAAGGACTCTACTACTGAGCAGGATCCACAGTCTTCTTTTAATGTTTTTTTTTTTTTTCCTTAAAATTTGAGACAAGATCTCACTCACTTCCCCAGGCTGGCTTTGAACACACTCTGTGGTCCAAGCAGGGTCTTGTTTTTTGACCATAAAAATTCATTTTAAAAATAAAGAAACATTATATGGTCCCACATGTGAGACCAATTATATACTGAGTGACTTATCAGCTGTCAGAAGACACGATGGATATAGTACTTGGCACTCACCTAATAAAAATGTGGACTCTGAGTGCAGGCACATTTGTCATCATCCTTTGTACAGGAGTGCAGGGCTTCCATAGCTCTGAATCCCCAGTTCATCAGGTTTGCATCCAGGGTCGGGGTACTATGCAGGGGTGGGTAAGATCCTGGCAGAGTCACATCGTCAACTTTTTACAGAGTCTCTCTTCCTATCCCACCCAGCTTGCATCCACAATCCCCCCCCTCCGTCTGACTCCCTTCCCTCTTTGACCACATAACATCTCCCAGCCCAGCCTGTTCGGGCTCTAGGACCAAATCCGAATCGGCAGGGCAAACGGGAGGGTGGTAGCTCCTTTGTCCCCACTAGCCTGCATGCAGCGAGCTAGGTAGGCCCTTTGTTTACGAGCCATCCAAGCAGCAAGGAGATCAGGTCCAGGCACCAGGAGAGACATCACTGGGGTGAGTGAGTTTCTGACCACGGCAGCAGCCCGGGACAGGGAACTCAGACATCCCTCCCACACTTCCTGGTCATCCTCAGGGGCTATTCTGCCTGATACCTCCTCTCTCTTCCTATCCCACCCAGCTTGCATCCACAACCCTCCCCCCCACTCCGTCTGACTCCCTTCCCTCTTTGACCACATAACTTTTTACAGAGTGCTGCATATAAGACACAACAAAACAACTGGAATTGCCTCTTCCTTTCACATTTAGGACTAACTCCAACAAGACAGACCCAATATCCTCCTAGAAGGTGTGGCATTCTCATACTTTAGTAGTGAGGTATTCTTCAGAAGGCTGGAATAAAGGAGACAGGTATCTGGTCCAGTTTCCAGTCCTTCACCTCTTCCTCTCTGATAATGACTGAACTTGGATGTCACGTAAACACTCAAGGGCTCTACCACAGAACCTCTGAGGTTGTCTAGGAGTAAGCAGTTAAGGGGGAGCCTTGCTCTCTTTCTCTGGATACGTGGTTTCAGTCTGGTTGCCTCTCCCATGGTGTGCAGCTCTCTGGCTCCAAATCCATGTAAGTATTTTCTTTCAATTGTCCTCAGTCTCTCTTCCATTCCCCACTCAGTCTTCTTCTCAGCCCAGGCATTGTTGCCTTTGTGGGCTCTGGTGAGGTAAGGGGAGAGTTCAGGCAATAACAAAAGCTTAGATGATTTATAGTAATTTATAATTTATAGAACACTTTCTTTGTTTTCACAATAACCCTCTAAGCCCAATCTAACCCCCACTTTGCAGAGACAAAGTAATGACTTGGTCCACGTGGCTAATGAGTGCCCCAGCTGGGACTCAGCCTGAGTGTAAATCACAGCTCACACTCTCCTCTGAGCCACCTCTCAGCCTTCATGTGATCCTTGCCCAGGCATAATTTACTATGCTAGCTAGGAGTCAGAAAGACGGAGCAACACTGAGAGACAAGTAGGTTATGAGAGTTTGAGAAAAATAGAAAGTTCTGGGGGCTAACAAGAAGCCCAAGATGGGATCCAATTGAAAGAAGAGACAATGACATAGAAATGGAAGGGAAGTAGAAAGTACAAATAATCCAGTATAAAGATATATACGTATAAAGATCCAGTAGACATTATTAACATTCCAGCAGAGGGTAAGACAAATTACAACGTGCAGGAGATAATTGTTCCGAAAGCTAGTGTAAGTGGTATGGATAAAACATGGCACACATAATATGAGATTTATGTGTTTTAAATGAGCACATGTATGTCCTCTGTATGTTGAATTTTAAGTTCAATTATATAGGAGTAGATATTTGCATTATTTAATTGTTTTTAAATAAACTATATCTAGCATATACTTACCATAATGCACTAAATATTTTATTTATCCAATTTTTACTATAAAAAGGATATATATATGATATGTTGTTGTATAGCACACTAACTGAAATATCAGAAAACATAAGTACCCAATAGTTATAAGTTTGTTCCCCATAGTAGAATGCTACATTTTCTTACTGTCATGCAATCTGCTGTAACACCTTATTAATACACACGGACGTAATCTTGAGTGGGAGTGACATCTTTCTCGAGTCCCATTCATGCTTTCCTGTAAAATGGGTGACTCTGTTCCCAAACCAAAAGTAGACATTGGGATCTGGTCAGGAATTAGGAATCTTAAAGCAAGGATGTTTCTCAGTGGTTGGATGGATATACGTCCTGATCGACCTGAAGTAGTTTGGTGAAATACAGTCTTACTTCATTTTATTCTAGCAAAGCCATGGGGGCAAAATCAGGCTGTCCCTCAATCTCTCATGTGTCTTGGGTTTGCTGACAGGTTTTAGTTTGGGGTTTTTCAGTTGAAAGTTTACTTATATAGCATAACATTTATTCAGTTGAAAGTATAAAATTAATTATCTTTTATTCAATTTGTAATCCATCACCACTATCTAATTCTGGAAGGTTTTTTGGCCCCAAAGTTTCATTAGCAGCGTCTTCCTTTTCCCAGCTTCTAAAAAGCACAAGTTATTTTTTTTCTGAGAGCGTGACTATTGCTCACACTTCATAGACTATTGTTCACACTTCATAGACTATTGTTCACATTTCTTTAGTGTCTGGCTCCGTTCATTTAGCCTGTTTAAGTTTCACCCATGTTCTAGCATGAAATAATAGACAATGCTGAGAGCAATAGTCCGTTGTGTGGATAAGCCAAACTATGTATCCATTCACTGTTTGATGGGTATTTGGATAGTTCCACTGGTTTTTGCTATTACAAAAAATGTTGCTATGACTGCTTACATTCAGGTTTTTGTGTTGACATATTTGTTATAACCCAGATATTGTTCAAGAATACACAGTAAAGGCTCTTCTGTGAAGGTTCATCTGCAGCCTTCCTTGAAAGGCTGCCTCAGTTGTCCTGATGCATTGTGGGTAGAACTTGCTGGATGTGTGAGATGTCACAGTCAGGCAGGCCCCCAGCTAGCACTGTGTCTCTTCTCTGTTACTCTATCTCCAGGGTACCCATCTAGTCTTTCAGTGACTCATGACACGCGTGATTGCTGGGTGCTCAGGTAAGAGTTGACTTTGCTTGAGAAGTCTGCCTCTGCTGCTGAGCACCTTGGACAAGTTATCCTGTCCCTGAACTTCAAATGCTTTATCTGAGTGTCGGCAATAATAATAGCCACCTCACAGAGTTCATCCGATGGTGAGAGATAATGTCCATGAGGTACATTCTGCCCTCAAAGCCAGGACTCAACTAACGTATGTTTATAATATTAGTAATTGCTCTGTGCAGTATGACAGTTGAAGACACTGAGGGCACAAATTAGGGGCAGTGTTGCACCCAGATCTTTAAACTGCTTCGCTACTTTGGAGAAGCTTCACCATTCCTTTCACAATCCCTGGGTTGGTTTTCTAGGGATGCCATAACGAAACACCACACAGAGAGCTTGACCTGGCAATTCTGGAGGCTGGGTGTCCAAAATCAAGGTGTCAGTGTGTTCACTTGAGTCCTTTCTCCTTGGCTTGCAGGTAAATGGTCCTTGCTACCCCAAAGGCCTTATTTTAATTCCCCCCTCTTGAAAGTCACTATTCCCAAATGTCACCATAGTCCGATGTAAGGTTAGAGGTCAACATGTGGATTTGGGGGCAGGGCTCAGTATAGGAAATAGCTGGGCAGTGTCTGTGTTATCCTACAGTGGGTACAAGAGAAAGCCTAAGCCTTGCTTATTGAAGCCAAGCTTCTTAGAAGAGACAGCACAGTAAAAAAGATAATATATGTCTTTTCTCTACTTGCCCACTGTTCCTGGCCTCACAATTGAACTTGTGATCTTCACACAAGTGTTATCAAATATACATTAAATATGTTGACCATCACAGAATCATAGTTCAGTCAGATGAGATGTTCCATGTCCTTGTTAGCGAAGAAGGAAAATTTATGGATTCTATTTGGAAACAGGAAATGTGTAAGCCAGTAATCCCAAGAAGTAGGACTAAAGTTGAGGTAAAATTAGTGAATAATTGAGATTTGTGTTGTCTTATTTATTTTTGTGTGTGTGTGTGTGTGTGTGTGTGTGTGTGTGCAGGTGCCTGCCACACTTGTCACAGCACACATGTGGAAGTCAGAGGACATTCCCTGGCAGTCAGGTCTCTCCGTCCACTACGTAGATCTTGAGGGTTGAACTCAGATCATGGGGCATGGCAGCAAGCACCTTTGTCTTCTGAGCCATTTCAATAACCCTATGCTTGTGTTTAGGTTTCTCTCTACTCCATTTTCCTAACACAGCTTGTCAACCTCCAATTGAGCCAGCCAGGGACTGTCCCATGCTCACTGAATACCCATTTGCTCATGTTCAAACCTGCCCTACCCCTTCCTAACTCTCCCTCCCTTTCCTGTTTTCCCTTCTATTTTCCAAGGCAAAACAATAAAGGCATAAAGAGTTATTGAGTACCAGTGGAGTTGGGCAATGATTTAACACGGGATGTGTGTCCTCATTTGGTTCTCACAGCAGCTTGACTTTGCCTTTTTGTGGATGAGGAACCTGAGGTCCCAAGGTGACTCCAAGCTTAGGAAGGCAGTGGCTATGGTGGTTGCTGTTAGCCTTGTATATGGCTCCTTGGATAAAGTGCATGAGAGGAAAGTTGGGTGTCTGTGACTTGTGGCAGGTGTAGTCTCCAGAGCAGGAAGTGGGGGATAGAGAGGCAGACAGAAAAAGCTGAGCAAGGACATGCTGTGTGCCAAGTGAGCTTCAGTGAGACCCCTCCGGTAAGCCCCCAGGTGCACATTATCCTCATGGAATTGCCTCTGCCTTGAAACATGGGACTCACATTTTATCCTGAGTCAGCTATTTCCAGGTTACATGGATGAGCCCTTATGGCTATGACAGTACTGACGGATGTACGTTTGACACCGAAAGATGGAGGTAGAGAACTTAAGAACCTCCAAGATAATCTTCATCAGATAGTGCACCAACAGTATTTATAGTGTAACAAGGTATTTTTGTGAACATTATTCATTTAATCATCATCACAATAATAATAATAACCTTATGAAGAAGGTGACAAATTTCCTTATCCCTATTTGGTGGGGAAGGTTAACGTTATGACTGTAGAATATGATAGCAGGGACCTTAAATTTACTTCTTGGTTAAGATTGGATGGTCCTCCGAGTTCAGTATGTTACCTGGTGGGATGGATGTCACAAATGACGTGACTACCCATATAGTATGACCAGTTGTCCACATTTGCCAAGGACTTTTCTGAATTTGGAGCTCTAAACCCCACTTTCAAGTTAACCCAGGACTACTAGGCCCAGCGCCTGAAGTCTGCAATGCTCTAAGATGCAGAGAAGTCTTCTCATTTTAACTTCTTCTAAGAACAGGAGAAAAATACAACTGTAATTATGATGACCATAAATACTGCAGCCGGTCCTAACTGTGGTCATGCTGACATAGTCACTAAGGACCCGTTTTCATTTATTTATTTCTTATGTGTATCTGTGTATGCTTGTGCATATGCGTGGAGGCCAGAAGACAACTTGGGGAGTCAGTTCTCTCCTTCTGCCCATTTGACTGCAGATTATGGGGCTTGAATTCAGGTCATCTGACTTGATGGCAATTGCCTTTACCTGCTGAGCAATTATGTTGGCTCCCAGCAAATATATTTTTTAATGCATGTGTAAGTATAAGAAGGAGCTTCTGGGGGACAGCTTCAGACATGGCAGAACTGAGATCGGAGTCATAGTAAGCCCTTTACACCTTAATAATGGTGGCTGGTTGTGGCTAAGGAACTTGGAGATCTCCCCAGGGATGGTTGTTGAAAACCTCCAGTGTTTCCTAGATCTGGGATTTCTGTGCATCTTCCTGCTTCCCCTCTCAAGGCTTTGATTTTGGGAGGAATTGGTAAGCCCATCTGAAGGCCTTCCCCTGTGCCATGAGAGTAGTCCAATGTCTGCTTCTGTTCATTCACCATGACCAGACCCTGGTCTGTCTTATTGTACTTCCTCTGCTCCTAGCTCAGGGCCAGGCACAATGCAGATCCTCTGTGGGCATTCATGGACTGAATAAATGAATCAGTTGAAAACTGAAATTAGTTATTTGCTTATTTTATAGCCCTGGGGATGTGAAACACTCTAAGTCTCATTTTTTCCATGTATAAAAATATAATAAAAATCCTTGGAACAGATAAACCCTCAAATTCTTGAAAGGTACTTTATGTAAGACTTGTTGTACTTGTAGGCTTTGCCACTATTATTGAAAAATATATCTTAGCAATTAAATTGTTCCTTGAAGGTTCTTAATATCATCACTTTATTTTCTCTCATCACCCCCTTTTTTAATTTTAGATCTTCACTAGAATCCAGCATGTCGAATTTTTCCTCGAGAAAAAAGTCTCCTACTGGAAACGGTAATACAGATAATATTTACTAAAATATTATAAAAACCTTTAAATATAAGAAAAACAACTCATAGATCATAAATTTCACTATAGATATTTGTTGTTTACAATGACCTTACTATATTAGCTTTGCTTAAGGTAGGTATCCTTTTTTTAAAAGTAAGAATGAGGGGTGGGGAGAAGAATGTGATGTAGATATAGTACTTATATGTGAAATTCTTTAAAATATTGAAATACATTTTTAAAAATGTTGTAGTTTCTACTTATGCCATTATAACTTAAAAAGTTTTAAAGATCACCATAAACATCCTTTGGAGGGCTATCTGTGCCCTGGTGCCTGTGAGATTCATGAACTAAGTCCTGTGTAATCAATTTACAGTGTGTTTCGAAGGCACATTTCTATTGAGCAGAATATGTTGGCCACTTAGCCCTGTCTGGGTTTGTCTCAGCATGGGGATCCTGCATTCTCTGGGCTCCAGATGGGGCCTCCTGAGCTGCACTGGCAGTTTCGGTTGGCACCTGAGAAGTTTTATTTGTTATCTTTGCTGCTGGGGTGTGGGATTTGTTCTTTCTTGCTGAGGCACCCTGCTGCTAGACTTGCCAGCCCAGATGAGGCCAATGAGATGCTCTCTCAAGACCTTCTGGTTAACGCCCCGCACTCAGCTTCCCTCTACAGCAACTGTCCGTGTTTCTCTTGGTAGATGTGAAGAGCACCCAGGGGGCTGCACTGAGACAACAGGGCTTTCATGATGTGAACAAAAGAAGGGCTTTCTTGCAGGATAACAGCTGGATAAAAAAACGTCCTGAGGAGGAAAAGTAAGTGTGGTGAGGGAAGGATGGATGGATGGATGTTGGATGGATGGATGGGTGGGTGGATTGATGGATGGATGGGTGGATGGGAGGATGGATGGATGATGGATGGATAGATGATGGATGGATGGGTGGGTGGATTGATGGATGGATGGGTGGATGGGAGGATGGATGGATGATGGATGGATAGATGATGGATGGATGGGTGGGTGATGGATGGATGGGTGGATGGATGGATGGATCATGGAAGGATGGATGATGTATGTATGTATGTATAGATGGATGGATGGATGGATGATGTATGGATGATGTATGTATGTATGTATGTATGGATGGATGGATGGATGGATGAGAGGTATCTCTGCTTGGAAGATATGACCATGTAAAAAGCAAGCCTTTCCCACTAAAGTGCTTGATTACATAGTCTTATTTTCATAAGATTTAGTAAGCATAAATCAGTTGTACCACGTTCTTAAGAAAACTGCACTCTTAAAAGCAAGCATTTACATACAAAAGAATGTGAGCTATTACAGAGGAGAGCACGATTGTCAACTAAAATAGGCATAAACCGAAAAGGAAGCAAGACATCCCTGTTTTCCAAAAGACAGCAGTTAATCTCTGTGTTGTATTGATCATGTCAGTAACTTTTCTAATTTGCAAATATAAAATAATAATTCAAACTTCTACATGCGTAAATAAAATCAGCAAGCTCATTTCAGGCCCACCTGACCATCTACCTCTAGGTGGCCGCAAGAGTGGACCTTATTTAAAGGCAAGCGCTAGCAAAGCTTTGAGCATTGCTTCTGCTAGCTGTATATTTAATATTTAAATATTGTCATCATAGCTTTATGTAGCTTGTCTTTCTCTGTCCCACTAGGCAGCTCCCAAATCACTGCATGGAGACTTCTTAACTAATTACGAAAGCTGGGCAGATAGCTTACAGCTTACTTCTAACTGGCTCTGATAGCTTAAACTAAACCATTTTTATTAATTTACATTCTTCCACATGACTCACGGCTTGCTACCTCACCTCCCACCTGTCATGCTTTCTCCACATCTCCTCATGACTCCATCCTTCTTTTCCCCAGCATTCTCTCTGCCCTGAAAATCCTGCCTAGGATTTTATTGGCCATTCAGCTTTTTATTAAACCAATCAGAATGACACATATTCACAGTGGACAAAATGATAATTCCATAGCAGATTTATGATAGATAGTCATATGGTCCAGGTCCATCTTTATCATTAATTAGTTATGAATTACAGATTGTGCATAGCTACGGATACATTTTCTGATTTCATTATGTGTTAAACTTTGGGTTAGGTATCGGGTTCATAAAGTGTCACTAAGTCTTATAAATATATGAGTTAGGCATTATAATCTCATCCTATAGGAGAGAAATAGCTCTCAGAAGCTATGTAATTTGGCCAAATGACACACAGCTGTTAAGTGGCAGAACTGACATTTTAACAAGATTCATTGTCTTTGCATTATACCACTGCCTTTTAAACAGAGGCGATTTTACCTCAGGCAATTTGGGAGATATTTTTCGTCATGGAATTGGGGAATACACCTAACACTTAGTGAGTAGAGGTTCAAAGTATTGACAAACATCCTGAAGTGTGCAGGATAGACGCCATAGCAATGACTTTCAAACACACCGTGTTAGCAGCCCTAGGCTGAGAAACTGCATTTTGGGGTGCTTATTCTGACTTTTACACACGGTCCAGCTAGGCTTATTGGAGGAACATACTTATGACTGGCAATAAGTAGTAAAAGCGTCTGTTGCCTTCTGCTCTTGTATCTTAGTCATTTAAGGACTCCACTGATGTGCAGAGATGTAACCACCGTTAGACTGAGCACAGCTGGACAACAAGCACTCCCTCCCACGGATCTGCCCTTAGCTCTTCTGTGAGAGTGCTTCTCTTTTCCTGGAATGGCCTCATGATAACAAATGTCCATAATAAAATTTGGCTTTCAAATATCTGTGTAGATGGATGAAGGTAGAGATGTCTCCGGGAAGTCACAGTTGGTAGGAATGTTGATCCTATGCCAAGCAAGCCTCCCTAATCAGGCCTAGGGAAACCAGGTTGGACAGCATGGTAGCTGCTGAGTGATGGGGAAATTGGCTCCCGTGCTTTGCAGGCTCCCGCTGGCCCGTTTCTGGGCTGTGCGTTATCGTTTGTTCTCAGGGAAGAACGTGCCTGGTGCCTGCTGTGCTTTTTGAAGTTTTGTTGGAGGATGCCAGGGAAGAGGGGAACTTTTCTCTTGTCAGGGTGCTTCAGTTTCTCTGCTCACCTTTCTTTTTAATTATCGGCTGTAGCTTCTTTTATAGCTTTATTAAGCACAGCTCCAGAATGTTGAGCAATGTTGATGGAGGCCGACCAGAGAAAATGTGGTGTTTCAGGTTTGGGGGGTTGGCAGGAAGAACTCAGGTGCTTGTCCTCTGCTGGTTTCAAGGCCACTTCCTAACGATGCCTGCTAAATCATACCTACTCTGTGAAGTGAGAAGGGCATAGCTTTGGCAACTCGTGTGTAAAAGTCTATCATGGGGCAGACTGTAAAGAGAACAGAGGACAGGAAATAGAGACCAGGGTCCTAAGCCACCTTTGTCCCTTGATAATCATGTGATTTTAGAAAAGCCACAAAATCTCTGTTGAACGCCCTCATATGCTGACTAGCATAAACTCTCTTCTCCTCCTAATTTAATAGGTATCTTGGGGCACATAAAGCATCCTCATGGTTCAAAGTTGGGCTTCCTCTCCTGCAAATGATCATTCTCCCTCACTTGAAGCTTCAGTTCTTGTTTCCTCTCATTTTTGGAAGGCCAATCGTCAAACCCATCAAAATGTGCAGGCGTAATAGGCTTAATTAAACCTGAAGAATGTTTATAGGAAACATCCTTTGTCTTCTCTTCTTGTAGGAAAGAACTGATAGACACAAAACCAATGGCCTTATGCTCCCATGCTCTGGTTAAAAAGAAAACAAAACCAATCACAACAAGCAAGGCACTGACTCATCGTTGGGCCATGTGGAGATCTCCTGGGACAAGGGGCCTTTGTGCAGTCAAACTTGCCGCATTCCGCTCTCCTTCTGCAAGCTGTGGCTGGATAATTTAGATTTATGGCTGTGCTTTTAGGCATGGAGTAACACAAATTAACCTCACCTGAAGTTGGAAACTCTCTCCCTGCCTCTCTCATGTAGTTCTTAGCAAACATTATGGTCACGTTTGATGTAATTTAATTTGAGTGTTTCTCCACAGAGATGAGAATTACGGCAGGGTGGTGCTCAGCCGGCATAACTCCCATGATGCCTTGGACAGGTGAGTGCCTCCAACAATTTCATCAGTTAACATGAAGTTGAAGGTGTAGAGAAAAAAACCTGTTCCAGTCAGATGAACAGTTGTAGCTAGCCTTGGGCTTCCGTCAACACATACACAAGGAAAGGAGAATATGGAGTACTGTCCCTTGTTAGCTCCCAGAACTGTAGCTGGGAGAAGGCTCCCAAGCCATCTCATCCCACTCCACTGACAGGGAGAGAGGGCTCTCATGCGAGCATGCCCAGAGAAGACATCATGATACGTAGAGAAAGGAAGGCTAAAAGTAGCTTCAGAGCGCATGTGCTATGTGGGACTTTGCTTTTATGAAAGCCATGGGCTTGTGGAAAAACCTTTACTTATCTGTGTTATTGAGTAGACTAACAAGTTCATGTCAGCATGGGAATTAAGATGAAATGAGGAATCGATATGAACATTCTCAGATCCATCGAACAGATAATACTCTCATTGGCACAGGCTTGTACTCATAGGCTAGGGAGAGCCACACCTTAGAAGAACCTAAATATTTATCACAATCAAGTTTCATCTGGTGCAGTGGCTTGTATCTGTGCACCAGTCAGAAGCCTTTGGTAAGGGAGTGTGAATTAAAAATCAAATAACTGAGTGTATATCTTGAAATGTATCTACTCTTGAATCTTGTGCTTGTGAATTTATCTTAACGATTTTAAACCTTTACATAAATTTGACATGTTCTAAAGGTGCCTAACTTACCATTTTGTGTTCCTAATGGCAGCTTTTAGCTCAACAGATTAACCGTTGGTTTTCATTCTTTTTAAAGTTAGTACAGAAATCATGGGGTTCACGGTGGCAGTTTATACATATGTGCCACATTCTTTGTTCTAATTTGTCCCATGCCCTTTTCTGATTTACTGTCTTTGAAAGCACTTTAAATCAATCCTATTTTATAAAATAAAATATTGGCCCATCAATATGATAGCCAATTTTTCAATGGAGATTTTTTTTCCTGAAGAAATTTTAATTTACTGGCCTATGGTATAGGGATTCACTGTTTGCCACTTCACCTTACTCTTCATTGTTTTGGAGATTGGCCCCTGGCTTACAATGGCCCTTAATTTCACCAAGCAAAGGGACAATGATTGAGTCCAGCAACCAAGGAAAATTGTTCTGTACCAACAACCAATGAAAATTGCTCTGTGCATTTAAATAGACTTTCTCCATAACACACACTCCCATTTTAAACTGTGGCAGTGAGAACTAAGCTTCATCTTCTCAGCTTACCCACAGTGCACCTTAGCATAACAGGACCTTGGTACCATCTATCCTGGCTTTACATTTAAAGTCATATTGGTCTCCTGAACTCTCCCTCTTGGTGGACAGCATTTTGGCTAAAGTAGTACACCAAGCTTTTATCATAAGTAACAGAGCTCTCTGAACCTGGAGATGATCAATAACTAATATCACAGAATGAGTCTCCTCAAGGGATATGGCAGATTTTCCTGGTACTGGCTCAAATGATGCTGCTCAACCCAGCCCCAAGGTTTCCTGTGGTGGTCACACAGCCACCCTGGAGCATCTTCTGGATTCTGGGAGCACAGAGAAGCACAAACATCCTCAGAGAGTATGAAGCTCTTATATTCATGGAGAAGACTGTCAGCCATAATACTGTGGTTTACCATAAGCAGTAGCTATGGAACGGATGTGTGACAGTGTTGTGGAAACAGAGAAGAAGGGGAGAGTGATTTGGCTTGCAGAATCCCAAATCCCACCATGGAAGTGCTCTTTGGTGGATGCTACCACCTAAAGAATGAGGAGGAGCGTTGAAGAGAGGCCAGTTGGCACCAGATGTAGGGGAGGGTTTCCAGAAGAGGTAACCATGTGTGAAAAGAGCTGGCAGGGCAGAGACGAGCTAACACATCCCCCATATTAGATAACAGCAGCATATTATCTGAATCTAGGAAATCTTACTGTGTGGTTCTTTGGACAGATCATTTAATGTCAATCAAGTTAATATCATCTATGGAATATGCTCGGAGCCAGACATTGAGCTTAGAACTGGATGTAAAATAACCCCAGAGTCCACTGATTATGCATCCCAGTTGAAGGTGGGGAAGAGGAGGAAATGAAAATAAATAATAACAAATAATGCTATAATTCCCCACAAAGTTTGTTCTCCATAGGTCATGGGACTTAGGGAAGCATTACTTTTGTGCTAAGAGCTAGAGAGAAAAAAGTCAACCAAAATCTAAAGTGATGGTATTTGTGGATGGGCTGGTTCTCATTGCTGTTGTGAAATTATTTATGTTTTTCCTCTGTGTATTTGCTTGTTTGTTTTGAGACATTGAGAGTAGAATCCAGAACTTTTCACTCAGTAGACAGCACTCTGCCATTGTGTTACAAACCACTCAAAAAGGGCTTTCTTTTTTTATGGCTTCATGACTTCACACCTTCAAACCTTGGGAAATATAGAAGACTTTTCTTTCCTTCATTCTTGCCTTCACTGTGCTGTTTGATCAGCGGTCTGTAAATGTTTTTGTCTGTTTGTCTTCCTGCACTTTATCAGGAAGCCCTCTGGTTCTTACATTTGAAATAACTTCCTTGAAGTTTCCTGAACTTCTTTCATCACACAAAGCACCGTTTGCCTTTGGCTATATGGTTGTGTTTCTCAAAGTTGAGCTGCCTCTCTCTTCTTTTATTCTCTTCCTCCATTTTCCTTGTTCTTCTTTCTCCTTGTTCCTCTCCCGATTACTGCTATCACTGTTCTTCCCTCTGCACATCTATTGTTTCATTGTTCACTCTGTCTCTCTGCTTCTTCCTGGATTTTTCTCTTCCTTCTCTGCTCTCTCTGTCACAAGCCTTTTGCTTTTGCGCCTGTCCATGGTGCTGAATGTTAACTAAAGCATTTTAGGAGCCGGCCCTCGGAGAGGGCTCACAGCCTCTGATAAAATAAGCTTACATGATGGTAAGATATTCCTACTCTGTAGACACCCGCAGTTATTAAGCACTAGCTATTAATACTGTTATTAATACACTAGTTATTAGCCACTATTAGCACAAGTACTGTATATCCTTTACCTCAATGTGAGTGTGTTACACTACAGTGTTTTATGAAAGCATGGAAAAACCATCGGAACCAGTGAAGTATCCTTTATTGGCAGTAGGAACTGAGTTTGCCTTAATTTATCTTATCCAAAGTCAACATTTGGAAGATGTGCATGCCAACTTTGTTTTTCCTTGCTAACGTGTACCTCTCCTAGCTAAACAGGACAATACTTTGTCAAATTTATGATAGGTTTCATGTGATAATTTTGTAATTCCGTCTCTTGATAACTGTGTTTGCTGCAGGAAAACAGCCGAGAGGGATGAGCCAAAAGCCACGATTAGCCGGTACCACTCTGATGACGCTCTGGACAGGTGAGGTGCTTAAGAATCCTGCCAGTGCATCAGATCCACTATGTGTAACCCTGAATCCCATTCTTACCATGCAGGGAGGGGCTGGAGTATTTACTGAGGCATTTTTTGCACTGGTGCTATTTTATCTCAAGGAGGAGGAGCCTCTGAAGTCCAACTTGTCTCCTCACCTCACAGAGTCTTAGCTAGATATATGATTTCCCCAGGGGAAGCAGTAGATTAATTTAAAACATGGTGATTTGAGTATGAGTGTTGAGTATGGGTAGGAGAGACCCTGCCTGGAATCTGTTAGCTAAATTTAAACTGAGGGACATCAGTCCTTATTCTCCAGCCTTGGGCTCTTCAGTTGTGATGGCAGAGACAGCAGCTTCTGGAAAACCACTTGTAAGTATACACATTGTTGTTAGAAACGTGAAGTGTGCTGAGGAAGTTTAAATAATGCACGGCATGAAAACTAAAGACCCTGAAGCTAATTTGAAGAATCATTTTAATAGGCTGGGTCAGGGCGCCCCCTAGTGTTCTATTGTGGAAGTAAATCTTTTCCTTGGATCTTTTTAAAAAAATTTGTTTCTTTGAGGCCAGGCAGTGGTAGCGCATGCTTTTAACCCCAGATACAACCTGTTTTGATGATGTTCTCCCCCATTCTACACCCAGATCCACCCCATCCCACACCCACTGTCTTAGTTACTTTTTTTTTTTTTTTTGCTTTGATGAAGCTCTGTGACCATGGCAACTTATAAAAGAATGCATTTAATTGGTTTCTGGTTTCAGAGGTTTAGAGTCCATGATGGCAGGTGAAGGAACACCTGAGAGCTCGCATTTTGGTCACAACCATGGGGCAGAAAGAACAGAGAGCACACTGGGAGTGGTGCTCACGTTTTGAAATCTCAAATCCCACCCCTGGTGACACACCTCCTTTAACAAGGCCATGCCTCCTAATCCTTCCCAAACAGGTCCACCAACTGGGCACCAATTATTCAAACATATGAACCAATGGAGACTGTGCTCAATCAAACACCCACAACCACTCAACTTTATGTCCCTTTTTTCTTTATGAAGACTAATTTGTGATGATATGGGGTCTTCTGCTGGAGTGTGGTCAACTTATCAAGACATACGGTTTTAGAGAAAATTCTCTCCTCATGAAGCCAAAAATTGCCAATAGCTCCATGTCTAGGTGTTAGGCTTCCTGCCCAACTCCTATCTTCACAAGCTGGGATTTGGTCTGGTGTGTGCTTTCATGGGCTCTGTGCACGCTATCACAACTGTTGTGAGTGTATATGTGGAACTACCCTGCTGGATCCAGACAGTGTTCCCTTGTAGCCGTCCACTGATTCTTATACTCTTTCTGCCTCCTCTTCTGCAATGAGATCCCCCCTTGGAAGGAGGGACTATGGTGTGCACATGTGTGTGTGCACACTCATGCACACACACACACACACACATACACACATGACATTACATTACATTTTGGGTTGGATATTCTCCAGTGTCTCTACACATCAGCCAGTTGTGAGTCTCTAAGTTAATCATCATCTACTACAGTTGTGAGTCACTGTGTCAATAACCATCTTCTGAAAATAGAAGCTTCTCAGGTGCATTAATGTATGGATATAATGATAAAAGTTAATCTAATAATAAGTTTATTTAACTAAATAATGACAGTAGGCTCTCTTCTCGGGCCTAACCCAAGTAGACTCATTTGTCAAGATAGGGTGTTTTTAGTCCATCCTTCCTTCTACCAAAATCCAAGCGGGTTAACACATAGATCATTGCTTGACTCATGAGAGCCCAGTATCCAGGGAGTGGCTCGGGCAGCTAAGCTCTTCCCCTGTTTTAATGCTTCAACCACGGGCACCAAAGTTGTAGCGGAGGAGGAAGAAAGAGCATAAAAGGTATGCAGGAAGTTTTACAATGGGGCCGGACATGGTAACATTGTTTCTGTCCACGGTCTTTAAAACTCGGTCAAGTGGGTCCCAACCTAAAGACATTTAAGTTGGCAAACATGGCTTCTGTAAGCTCTGAAGGAAAAGAAATGAGTGTGGCAAACACAAAGCGTTTTCTGTGCTGCAGAACTTTTAAAAAGAGTCCTGAGGTGTTTTATGGATGCCTTTTACCAACATAGGAAGTATTATCATTGAGCTACAAAAATAATGACACACAGCAGCTGAGTTAAGATCTCATTGAGTTGGGAGGTGATCAGTAAGTGTTGCTGTGGACCCAGAATTCAGGTGCTGTCGAGATAGCTCATCAGCCCTCTTACTTCCAGGTATTGTAAAATGTAATACAGAGAAGTTCTTTTTACAAAAAAAACCAAAGGATTAAATATAAAATTGTTGAGGCATGTAGAGACCTGGAAGAAGTTTGACAAGCTAAATGTCTGTGCAAACTTGTGTGTTGTGTGTGTGTGGGGGGGGGCAGGCAGAAGAGCTGATGCTGGAACAGTTAAGGCCCAGAGCTCGGATAACCAGCTAACCAACAGGTGCTAGCACTCACTACCTTGGGAGATAGAATTCAGATAGAATCCTTTGTAAGTGTTACTTATTTTTTACCTAACAACTTACAACCATCCTTAATGTCTTTCTACAAAATTTTACCCTCTGTATATTAAAAAAATATACAATTAATTCTTTGAAAATTTCTTTCACATATTCATACAATCTATTTTGCTCTTATTCACCACCATGCATGCCTCTAACTCCTCCTAGATCCACCTCTGATCCCCAATGTCTTTTTTTTTAAAGTTTATTTATTTTATACTCATGGTTGTTTATCCTGCATATTTATCTGTATACCATGTGTAGGTCTTAGGGCTGGAGGAGGCCAGAAGAGGGTGTGAGCTGCCATGTGGATCCTGGGAATTGAACCTAGATCCTCTGGAAGAACAGCCAGCACTTTTAACTGCTGAACCATTACTCTAGCCACCCCACTCCCTGCCGTGACTTTATTGTTCTTCTGTATAGCTCAAGTCAAATTTGTGCTTATGGGTGTGGCGCCATCTGCTGGAGCATTGTCAACTCAGCAGGAGCAGCACTCTTAAAACTAACTTTGTAGAAGTTATTAAATGCTAAGACCTCTTCTGCTAGGGGTGGGTGCTTGGATCTCCTATTTGCTGCATTCTGAGGTGTTAAATGGTTGACATGGTACAAGCTTTGTGCAGACCAAATTACCTTCTGTATTTTTAGAACAACCTTTCTCAAGAAAAACCCTTGAATTTTGCTCACGGTAGAATAAACCCAGAGGCTCCACTGCTGTGGGTCCTTAGCTTCACCTCCTCTGTGTCTCTGTTAAGATGTTCTGGTGGTAAGATTATGAATTTTATATTTGAAATTATCAAATCTAGCATCTTACGGCATTGGGTTTAGATAGTAATGGCTTTTCTGAAGAAAGAGAGCATTTTGGGATTTAGCACAGGATTTTAAGCACCACGAAATTAGCTCACCAAATTCATTCAAACAGTGATGCTTTTCCTCCCTCTCCAGTAGCCTCTAGTTCTTCCTCATAACTTTAAATTCTTGGACAAGCACAGATAAAAGGAAGATTAACTAGGTTTTCACCATTGCTGAAACTATACCATTGTTTCTTTCTTCTTCCAGAACACTGTCCACGCTTAGGATACCAGAAGCAACCAAGATGTAAGTACTGATGTGTTTTTTCCTTGTGAACATTTAAAAACAATCAAGGCTTACAACCCTCAGGCCAAAAGTGTCACTCGACTACAACAAGGCCCTGTGGTGTTGGCAGTGTTAGTCTCAGAGAAGACCCAAAACAGGCTTCACAGCATCTGTCTGTCTGTCTGTCTGGACGTGTCCTGAAAAAGCTTACCTCCCACCACTCTCAAAGAATCACAAGTTTAGATTGGTACTTTCGTCTTGTATTTTAAAATGGACTCAGGGCTGAAGGGATAGCCCAATTGTGAAGAGCCCTGGCTGGTCTTTCAGAGGATCCAGTTTTGGTTCCTAGCATCCACATGGCAGCTCACAGCCCTCTGTACCTCCGGTTCTAGGGATCTAATGCCATCTTCTGGCCTCCTCCTGCACCACACAGGCAAATGGCGCACAGAAATGCATGTAGGCCAAACACCTGATGCACGATTAATAAAATCTCAGAGTGAGAGACTGGGGTTCAAGCTGAAGGTCCAAAAAACCAAAACAGCCAGCCACTGGCTCTTCCCTCAGTCTGAAAATGCCAATCCTGCCTCCAGGAATCTTAGAATGAGACTGTGACTGAGAGCAGTCTCTTCCTGGTCTTATAATCCTCTCTAGTTCTGGGATTAAGGGTATGCACCACTACCACCTGGTTTCTATGGCAAGCTAGTGTGCCTACTGGGATTAAAGGTGGTGTGTTATTGATGTCTGGTCGGTAAGGCTGACCAATGTGGCTGTTTTACCTTACTGATCCTCAGGCAAGTTTTATTTATTAAAATCCAAGTGAAATGTCACTACACACCCACACACATACCAACAAAAATGAAGTAAGACAGAGGACTCCGTTTCTCCCCATTTCTTAGACGACCGACTCCTTCTCATTCAGCACCTCACCTTTTTCCCTGGTACCCCTCACATCGGTGCTTTGTCCCTCAGAGCAAACTCAGTGAACCATGAAACCATGAAAGCCATTTCCCCTGGCACATACCACTACTACTTATAAGCAGCACAAACCGGATGAACTTTAACATAATTACCTTAAAAAACTGCATTTATGGGTAAAATACTTTCCATGTTGGATCCCACTCTTAGTGTGTAAAATAGACCCTGGGTCGTTGCCATTTTTTGAGGATCCAAATATGTGCCAAAATGGAGACTAAATACCAAATATAGATTACTAATGTGTTTCTCAATTTTTTTCTTAAGATCATATTTCTAATACAAAAAATAACAGCCTAATTCCATCAATCACAACAAAATAATAAGATTAAGAGAATGCAAATTGATAGCATGTCACAACTGGTTAGCTTGAACTTCACACGATTAACACCAGTGTTAATGACTTCCTCAGCCTTCATTTCTGAACCAGCTCTGTAAGAGCCTGACAGTGTACAGGACAGGTAAACTAGCGAGGAGGATTGTTTCCTTCCTGCTTTTCGACCCTTAAGTGAGATGTTCTATTGCTGATAGACAGTAGGCTGGCATATGTGTAGGTTATAAGATGTTTCAAAGGCGGGGAGGCGGATAGTGAAGAAGCTGGAGGAAGGTAATGATTGCTCTGCTCATTGAACAGGCCAGCTGGTAGCTCCCTTCACGCAAACCCCACCACCACGGCTTCCACACCTGCTACCACCCCTGTGAAGAAAAAGAGGTAAGCTGGGCACCCTGTGTCTGTCTCTGGCTGAGCTCTGCTCCAAGGTCCTCTAGATGATGCTGGTGGGGGAGCTTAGGTGTTAAGAGCTTTGCTGCTTTAAGTAGGCTTCCTCAGAGCTGCACTCCAGGGAGTGGCTTGACTTGAGATGGTGATTGGTGAGTAACCACACATCACTATGTGCCCATAGTGTCCTCCTTTGCTCTGGACTTTAGGCTGATTCTACTTCAAAGCAGAGTGGGGGCTCCTTCCGGGGACCTTGTACTGTTGTACTGTTTTCTTTGTTCTTTGAGACAATTTCATTTCTATTTCCATTATATATATATATATGTGTGTGTGTGTGTGTGTGTGTGTGTGTGTGTGTTTAAGTCATTCATAAAACTAAAAATAAATCTATGTGAATAATCTAGGTATCCAACAATGGAAGGAGGGATAAAGAACATGTAGTGTGTAACATAATGGGATTGTTTTAGCATAAAGTTATGCCTAGGCTGAAGTTATGTCAACTGGAGATTCTTGTCTTAAGCAAATCAAGCAATTTTATTTCAGGATGTTGGCCAGGGCTCCAGGCCCCCTTAGCCTCACCATACCTTCCCCAGCCCTTTCTCTCACTTAGTTGTTCTTATCTTAGCCTTCTCTGCAGAGACCTTGGCTACAACTCTAGCTCTATGGAATCATAGCCCTGCCCTGTAAGGTGATCTTTCTAACAGTTGCTGAGGCTGAGGGTAGCACTGCTGTGGCACTCATTGCTGTCTGAGCACCCTGGTCAGAGTGTTCTATTTCACAGTTTAGATAGATATCATATTTTAGTTAGAGAATGAAGTTGTTATTTCCATTATGGGCTAGATTGGGAAGGTAGAGCCAGAGGAAGACTAACATGAACACACACAAACCCGCAGTCTAGGTAGACAGTTGCTGGGTTTTTTTTTTTTTTTCTGTTTAAGGAAATACCCACATTGTTTCGTGTCAAAGGAAATGAAAAAAGTGGTTCACTCGGCAGGGGGCATGCTTAGAGCTTGAAGTATAGGATCCTTTCTTATTACTCCCTTTATGAAACAGTGTTCATTTTATTTCCAAGGCTTCCCGTAAAAATTACCCTGTTGCCTTTTTAGCTTTCAACTGCCCTCCCACCCCCAGATGTGGGGTGGGATCGGCCATGCGAACGCTGTGATTATGACTGGTGTCATTTCTTTACAGACAGTCCTGGTTCCCACCACCCCCTCCCGGTCACAGCGCCTCTCCAAGCCCAGGAGCGAGCGGAAGGTAAGGGAAGGTGTCAGGCGTAATTGCTGTGCTGTGAGGGAAGGATCCATTAGTCCTTGACAGCATATAATTGTGGATGTTTCTCAATAAGCTGATGGCAATTCTGTGAACTCTGAAGAAGGCAGTGCCCAGTGGGAGTGGGGGTCAGGATTCTCGGCGTTCTTGGTGAGCCATCTGACAGGCCGTGAGAACTGAGGCGGTCCCATATTAATTTTCAATGTTTTCCATGACAAAAGTGCTGCAATCGTAGTGTAATAAACAGTGGGAACTTATGGCCTTGCTGTGAAAGAGCACGATGTGGGCAGGATTTTTCTTTGGTGGGCACTATAGGGTAATTTTACTAGAAGTATTTACTAAATATTTCCAAACTTATTTTTTTTATTTTGATCTATTCGTCTTGCTTCTGGTATTAATATAAATTATTACTACAATGAAAAAAGCGATTCTGTAACTTTATAAATCCTTGCAAGGGTTGGTCGGGAGTCAAGATCTCATACTTGCAAAGCCTGTAGAAATTGTGGGTATGATTGCTTTGAGCTGAAGGTCCTGGCTATCAGCCCTGGCAATTCAGCAACTTGCTGGTTGTGTTTTAGGTTGTGTTTTTACATGGAAGATAAATAATAATGCTTTGTGGGAAAAAAAAATCTAGCTCAGATCCATAGCTCTAGAATGAAGGAAATGAGGAGGTTGTTAGGTTTTGTCATCAATGTGTGTCTCTCTGCTCCTGGTTCAGAATCATGGGCTATTTGCTCACCGCCTAACCTGAAGGGCTTCTCTCTGAGCTTTCAGGGAGGGAGGTGTGAATGGCAGTGAGGCCTTTTCCTTGGAGTAGGACTACAGAGTCTGCTTCTCATCTTTTTTTGTTTGTTTGTTTGTTTTGTTTTTCGAGACAGGGCTTCTCTGTGGCTTTGGAGCCGGTCCTGGCACTAGCTCTGTAGATCTGTAGACCAGGCTGGTCTCGAACTCACAGAGATCCACCTGCCTCTGCCTCCCGAGTACTGGGATTAAAGGCTTGCGCCACCACCGCCCGGCATCTGCTTCTCATCTTTATGTACCTGTCCCGGGATTGACAGGTAGACTTTATAATGAATACTGAAAAAAAATAGAAGTAATTATTAATGACCAAGAAGGACTGAATGCTACAAAAACAGATCTCTGGTCCCAGAAGATCCAAAGTAAATGAAAACAGGTCATAGACAGATAAAACTGGGGGACTACGGTTTTTAACACCTTTTGAGCCTAATGCTGAATTTACTTCTCTTTATCTCCGGCTGGTGCACAGGGATCCCCCCCCCCACACCCCCGCCGCTTTCTCCTCCCTCCCCTCTTCTCCTGCCTTTTTACTGCCCCGTCACTGTTTTCTGTTCAGTGCCCAGGTGTGCTTTCACTATGCAGTTTGTCCTTGAAATGCTGTTTTATCTCCGCCCCCCATCCAGTACTTAAACAGATCTCCAGACAACACCACCATTCCAAGAGACAGCCCCTCTCCAATCTTTTTTCCTAGACCTCTCTGCCAATCATTTGCTTCCTGGTAACGTGCTAGCTAAGAAGTCAAAACCAGTTGTCTTTGGATTGAAGGCTTGTGTTAATGAAGCACAAACCGGAACAAAGCATCTCGGTTTCTTTTATTAATGAAAGCAGTGATTTCATATTTTTTATTGTCTATCATCTATCTTTACACGTGGATGCTTATGCCTGTGACTGTAAATCTCTGTATGTGTAAATCTATCTGTCCTAACCTTTATAGATACATCTTGAATAAAATACATATTTAAGATCAGCTATATTTTAAACCATCATGTACCAGTCTAAAAGGACATTTAAAATAAAGTTTTGTTTTAAATCCCATTTAGCCCAGGTGAATGCCTTTGAACCCAGCACTTTGGAGGCAGAGGAAGGTGAAGCTCTATGAGTTTAAGGCCAGCCTGGTCTATGTAGAGAGTTCTAGGCTAGCCAGGGCCACATAATGAAATCCTGTCTCAAAGCAAACTACCCCTCCCTGCCAAAATCACATTAATAGCTAAACAAAAGCTTATATGTCTTAAAAAAAAGTAAAACAAAACAACAAACAAGCAAACAACAAAAACAAAACAAACCCCTCGTATGTTCTCGGTTTTTCACAGCCCTGTAACTTAAACATTCCCCATAGCTAAGTCTGAACTCCTGTCCTGAAAACCAATGCTGATCAAAATTATAAACAATAAAGCAAAAGGTTTTTTTTTTTGTTTTGTTTTGCAGAAGAAAATGTGAATGGCACAGAGACCAATTTTAATTTTTGAAACTTTAAGGAAATTTTGAGGCTCAAGATTAGAATTGGGTGAAAGATTTAATTTTGTACAGTTTTACTTTTATTAAGGAAAAGAAATCAACAATTCTCACATTTGAAAATAAATTGTGCTAAATTAATTGTTTGAATAATGTAGCTGTTGCTCATGACTTTGCTTTAGTTTTAATAATTTCCAAACTAAATTTTCAAGACTATATGAAATACAATAAAATATTCTAAAAATGATAATTTTCTGTTTCATACACATTAGTCTTGAAATGAAGGGTTCAGACATGAATGATCAAACAAAGTAGAGGGCAAAACTGGCAAATCTGAAGGTTTTTCACTCCGTTTGGGCTGAATGTTAAACAGACAAATTTAATTCCCGACAGCAGGACCCAGCATGTAAAGTTTGTCTGAGCAAACCCATTTCCCTCGTCCAACTGATTTCTGAGGTTGCTCTTACGATTTGTGTAATACTTACTGGCTTGTAAATGTTTTAAAATATAAATAACCAACACAACGTTTTGGATTATCAAGATATGTCAGCAGGTTTATATTCTTTGCAGTTTTATCTGATGCCATCAGCTCAAATTTTTCCTTTCATTTTTATCAAGACTCGAATACAAATTGTAACTTAACTAGCTGTTCCTGAGTACAACTCTCCTGTCTGTTCTCCTGCCCCAGGATCAAGCCCCTGCTATCCTCTTTTCCCTTTATTCAAATCTTTCATCCTAAAAATATCATCTTTGACATTTTCTGGGCAGATCCTTCAAATCCCTTCAAGTTGACATTCTCTCTCTTTCTCACCCTGCCAGTGAGTTCCATCTGCAGTTTGCTGGTTTCTATTATCCTCACCTCCTGGGAACAGCTCTCCCTAAGGTCACTGATGGCCTTGGGTACAATCCCCGGCTGATCCAGCAGGTCCCTGCGAAGACTTGCCCTTCACACCACACAGCTAGACTGTTGCTTCCTGGCCATACTAAGCCTCCCAACACCCTGTTCAAGATTTTCTTCTAAACAATTCTCCTCCAGTCATCTTTACAATCCTTTACCAAATCTTTACATGCTAATATTCCCAAACCTCAAAGCCATCTTCTCTCTCCTGATGGCATGTTCTGACCTTCAGTAGCAGAGTCAGTAATGAGGATACCTAAAGCCACTTGTTCCTCCAGACTATAGGTTGTATAGTCGCGGGCTTCCTTGACACTTAAATCTCTCAAAATAATAGGCAACTTGGTATGTTCACAATATTTGCCGTTTACCGAAGCCTGATCCTTCACCTTAGTTACCACCACCAAACTATCCAGCCTTCTGACACCTTGAAATACGTTCCAGTTTCTTCCCATTGCCATGATAAAATACCCTGCCAAAAATCAACTCAGGGGAAAGGAGATTTATTTCATCCCAGGTTATATTTCTTCATGGTGGAGAAGTCAACACAGGAACTTCAGCTAGTCTATATGATGTCTACAGTAACGAGCAGAGAGAAGCAGATGCAGACGTGTTTACTAGCTTGCCTGAGTTCTTCTTGATTTCTTTACTTTTATACAGTGCAGGATCCCTTACCTAGAGAATAGTGCCGCCCACACTGGGCTGGGTCTTCTTTCGTTGATTAACCTAAGACAGTTTCCCCCACAGATACACTAACATATCGATTCAGTGTAGGAAATCCCTCATTGAGATTTTCTTCTCCAGTGTTTGTAGCTTGTGTTAACAGTTAAAGCTGACCATCACGAAAGTCGAGGCTATTTTTCCACCTTTCCCTACTTAACCACAGATGTTTACTGTATAAGCAAGGCTGACATCCTGCCTTCTAAATGCTTTTTGAATCCAAGTGTCTCCTTGTATTCCCATCCCCTTGAATCATTTCTCTCCTGTCTTATGACAATAGGTGTTCCCTGAATAGTCTCCTTGTCCTCACTCTTATATCTACTCTTCACTCTATATGGTTAACAAAGTTATATTTATTTTAATAAAGTAGGAATCAGATCATCCCATTTTCCCAGGTAACAATTAAAATGGTTTTGCATTGTCTTAGAAAGTGAGCCAGGTCCTTAGCAGGGCTCCTGGCCCTTGCTTGTCTTCCATTCATAACTAATCCCCCTTGTTTGGGTTCAGCTACTTAATCTGTTTGATCTTGCTTTTTCTGGTCTCCACATTCTAGCGACCCTCAGAATCCCCAGCCTTTCTGTCTTGAGCTCTGTCTTCTCCCATATTGGAGGCACGGGAGTACTCATGCTGTGTTTGGAGCTGATTTCCCTTCACAGCTGTTACTTCTAATTTACACCAGCTGTTCTCTTAGTTCCCCATTAGGTGAGAAAGTTTCCTTGGATTATTGAAATGCTTCCCGCGTAAGGTTTAAGTAGAGATGTGAGGTTGGGGCCTGGTGGTATTCCAGTGAAGAAGCTCAGGCCAAATCACATACCAAGAATCAGAGATCTCTGTGACTTCTTTGGTCACACCCCTTTCAGGCATTTCTCATCGACTGGCATTTCCTACAGGTCCTCCCCAGAAGAGGCCATCCTCATATTTAGTTGTAATTTGAGAAATAGAACTTGCCTGAGGATCAGAAAAGTAAAACAGTCACATTGACCAGCCTTTACTAGACCAGGCAGCAATAACACACAACTTTAACCCCAGTGGTCATACTGGTTGCCATAGAAACCGGGTGGCGCCTGCTTTTAATCCCGGTGGTGCAGGCATTTAATCCCAGCTTCAGAGAGAGACATAA